CTATAACAACCCCCACTCTCTCTATAACAGCCCCTATAACAGCCTCTATAACAGCCCCTATATCACCCCACTCTCTCTATAACAGCTCCCACTCTCTCTATAACAGCCCCTATAACAGCCCCCACTCTCTCTATAACAGCCTCTATAACAGCCCCCACTCTCTCTATAACAGCCTCTATAACAGCCCCCACTCTCTCTATAACCCCACTCTCTCTATAACAGCCTCTATAACAGCCCCCCACTCACTCTCTCTATAACAGCCCCCCACTCACTCTCTCTATAACAGCCCCTATATGATTCCAGGGTGGTCCAGGGTCCCTACACACTGGTTGTGATAATGGACTAGTGATTCCCACACTATGCTAACACAGGCAGTGGGAGTCAGAGATAGAGGTCAGAGCTCTACACATTCACTCCTCACTAGCCACTGGCCACTTGCCCCCTGGCTGGTAGTGCACTGGCCTCCTATTCCTCTCGCCCTTACCAAGTCCTGGCAGTGAGAGCTTCACTGCTGTATCCAGGCAACAGAGAGCCAGACAGTTCCCGCCCCTTTCTTCGTCACGCAGCTCCCCCTCTGGCCGCGCTGCATTGTGGGACACAAACAAACTGATGCGTTTTACTCCTCTTCGCCCCCCGCCACTGGGAAGTGGGAGATTCCGAGCGCCTGGGCCTGTGCGCGCGGCTGCCCGGGGACACGCAGGCAAAGCACGGAGCGCACCAACTGCCGGCGGGAGAGGGGGGTCAGCCGGGGAGTGAGCGACGAAGGCGCGACCCTCAAGCTCCGGGGAGATTTCTGTTCGGACTCTGGGATCGGCGGCCTGTGCTTCCCTCCGAGCGCTTCTTACCGGGCCGCTAGGCCGCACGGAGACCGCCAGGTCAGTTATACTGCGTGTGACAGGCCGGGTTTCCCGCCCTGCTGCTCCATCCCAGAGCTCCATCCTAGAGCTCCCTGTGCCGATTGGAGGGTTTAAATACCGGCCCCCTCCCCTAATTACAGCCCCCTCCCCTAATTACTGCCCCTCCCCTAGTACAGCCCCTCCCCCTCGCAACCTGCCCCTCCCCTAATTTACAGCCCCTCCCCTAGTACAGCCCTCCCCCTCACAACCTGCCCCCTCCCTAATTACAGCCCCTCCCCCTCCTTCCTGCCCCTCCCCTAATTACAGCCCCTCCCCTCATAATCTGCCCCCCTCCCCTAGTGCAGCCTCCCCCTCCTTAACCTGCCTCCCCCTCATGGCCTCACTAGCCATAACCCCCCTCCCCTAATTACAGCACCTCCCCCTCATAACCTGCCCCCTCCCTAATTGCAACCCCTCATGGCCTGCCCCTCCCCTAATTGCCCCTCATAGCCTGCCTCCCTAATTACAGCCTCCCCCTCACCAACCTGCCCCTCCCTAATTACTGGCCTCATAGCCTGCCCCCTCCCTAATTACAGCCCCCCCTCCCCTCATAGCCACTGCCCCCTCCCCTAGTTACAGCCCCCTCGCAGCCTGCCCCTCCCCTAATTACAGCCCCTCATAGCCTGCCCCCTCCCTAATTGGCCCACATCCCCTGCATGTGCCCCTCCCCTAATTACAGCCCCCCCCTCCCCCTCCTGCCTACCCCCCTCCCCTAATTACAGCCCCCTCCCCCTCATAGCCTGCCCCTCCCTAGTGACCTCCCCTCATAACCTGCCCCTCCCCCCTCACCCAACCTGCCCCCTCCCCTAGTACAGTCTCCTCCCCTAATTACAGCCCCCTCCCCTTATAACCTGCCCCCTCCCCTCATTACTGCCCCCTTTCCTAATAAACCTGCTTGCCTCCCATATTACAGCTCCCCTTATGTACACCGTCTCCCCATAATTTACATTTCCCCCATATAACCTGCTCCATCCCCTCTATCTCACACCCTGCACTCCCCCATCACCAACTCCCTACCTCATAACCTGTCCCTCCCCTCATTACCAGCCCCTCCACAATGGAATTTCACATATGTAGCCTTACCTGACTCTCCTATTCTCCCTACTTGACTTATCTGCTCCCTCACCTACCTCTCAACATGAGCTCTTGTACCCTTCCCTCCCCGTACACAACCTCCCTTGTGTTAACACTGCCACCTTCCCGGTACCTAACTCCCTACTTGTATCTCGCTCCTCACTCTTTACCTATCCTTTCCCCTGCCTGTCCATTCTATCTTTACCTGAGTCAGTCATTATGTCCCATATTAGTTCTTGGCCTTTTATCTGACCTCTCCCTATAGCTGTCCCTCCCCTTAATTATCCATTTTACTTGCCACTTCCCCCTTACTGCCATACTGACCCGTCACCTGTACGTAACTTTTTCCCCTTTACCACCCCTGTCATTAACCTATCCCGTTATGTGACACCTGGCCTCCTTCTTTTATTTAACTGCCTAGTGTACAAGACCCATTCCCTAGTTATTTTTGTTTCCCCTTTGCAAAAAATGGACTCCACTTAGGCTTGACAAACTGTTCTGAATCTGTAAAATGATCTGTGACCTGTTCTTATAACTAAAATATGATATATTCCTTTAAAAAAAGCACATTAAACTCCTCCAAGTGTTATGTGGGACTCCATTGTGCTGGGGAACCTAAAGGAAGCAATTAATTGTGGGTTCTGGTGACAATAAGTACTTGCAATTCTAAGCATTGGGATGCAACTGCCATGGAGAACCAATTTTGCGTCATGACCTGGTCTTAGCCATTGTCCTGATCTATTATTTTGTTTAAACATCCTATATAATATATAATTTTGATACACTTCTAAATATTAACATGTGTGCATATATATTTATACATTGAGAGTTGGGATCTATAAAGGTAAATAATGGCATAGTGGTTTATCCTGTGTGACTGTGTTTTCCCTAGAGGTTTGCTGTGGCATTATCTTATAACATGATTCCTTTTTAAAGTAGGGTTAGGTACACACTTATACACAGACAAGCGTGTATACAAGCAGCCTCGGGAGGTACAGTATTTGCAATGCCAGCATGTTTCCTAAGAAATGTGATGTCACAAACCATATAATAGGTCATTTTGAAATCAAGATCTGCAATGTAATGTAGCAGACAGGATAATTAGGTTATTAATGTCTAAATTATAGTGAATTAAATCTGAATTGCAAAACTAAATATTTGGACTAAAAAAGTGGGACTTTCAAATGGGACCAACTTGGCCTGGGAAAGAAGGGGTCTTGAAATATCCAAACTGTGAATATAGCCGAGTTAGAAATTTATTTCAGCTAGCTATTTAGTTTTAGTTTTTCTATTTGGGTTTCATTTGCTAAATTTCAAAGTTAAAGGATAACTATAGTGCTGTTGTGGCTGATCATTTTACGAGCCCTGCTCCAATTGCACTAAAAAAATGTGATTTTACTAACTTTTTCTCACAGGGGCTAGTTCCAGCTGTCTGAGTAACTGCCACTCGATGTGTTACATATATTTACTAAGATGAAAATTGTCATGAATTCAAAGTCGATTTCAAACTTAAAGGGACACACTCCAGGCACAAAAACAACTTGATTTAAATGAAGTTATTGTGCCAGGGAATGGAAAAAAATATCCGAACTGGAAAACGTTCCCCCAGTCAGCTATACAATTTAAATTAGCTTTGAATTCCCTCCAATTTCTTATTTTGGGGAATACCCCTGTATATATTAGCAAGGTATAAATTTATCAAAACCAAATACTTTTTGACTTAACCAAAAACGTTGTGTATATATTTCTGCATGTGCATTTACACAGGATGGAGCAGTTTGTGTATGTTCCTGTTTAATTAAGATAAACGTACGTCACACCCATCATTACATGGACACTCCAGGCCTCTGAAGCACTTTGGATTGCTGAACTGCTTTATGTGTGAAGAGTGTGTCCTCCTTTTCTCATTTTACGTAAAGTGCAGATTTCAGTAGAAACTGACACTTTATATATTACAAAAACACAGAATAGGTGCGCACAATAATAATAGAGTGGAAGGCAGAGGTGAGTCAGCAGGGATTCTCAGACCTTTTTGTCACTTTATAAATTAACCTGGTTACACCCACTCTTGCTGTCAATTATACAAAGTCCTGTTACTTCCTGGTTGCTTCTCTCAGTGGAGCTAAACTCAAGAGGCAGCAATTGTCCAGAGCATCTGCCTTGTAAATACTTCTCATTGGGAAGCCTGTGATTGGACAGCCACAGAATGTCAGGGGGAGCTTGTAAAGCTGCTTTTCAATATATATCCAATTTAAAAAATGCACAATTGAATGCATGTTATCATTGGGGGTATATCTGCTTGACAGTGGTTTTATATATTTGCACAGTGGCATGCCTCCTTAAAACTGTAAGATAAATGCCCTACAAAATAGTATTCTATAGATTGACTTTTATTGCAATGGGTGAAAAAAAATGACACCGCATTTGATTCAAATAGGGTACGGTGGACGCATGGTGCTTTGTGTGTCCACTTTTTGCCTAAAGTGTAGCATTCGGGAACACGTCAGAGAGGATGCTGGGTGAAACACTGGTAAATCTCGCAATTCCTTGCACTGTACAGATTACCTTATTTGTAGATTTAGTTGTGTTATCTCTCCTGTTAATCACAACAGAATCCTTTTAATATGACTTTTTTTCCATCAGCCCTCAGGTAAGCTACTCTCCATAATAACAAAACATGTGGTGTTTATCCACTAAACAGGGGACTTAACGCAGTGCTGTAACCTTCCCCCTCATCCAAAATGAGTATTTCAGAAAGATTAAATGTTTATGGAATATTCACATTGACTTTGTTGGAAATTCACTGATATTCCAACCCAATCAAAAGATGTACTTAGACAACATAGGGACTACTTTGACTTAGTATTTTTCCTATGCTTTACAAAGCTTTCTAAATGACTGAGCTGCCTTTTGCCAAGCGGAAACTGCTCTGTCTATTGAGGTATTCTCTTTAGACCTTAGTGTTGTACTCTCACACATGCAGACCAGAAAGAAAATAGATGTCAATAAGTAAAACTCATCTTCCCCTGCATTCTTTGCCCAAAGCTGGGCCACTGGAGCAGTTTTAATTAGGGATCGACCGATTATCGGTTTTACCGATATAATCGGCCGATATTCAGTATTTTCGGCAATACCGAGTATAACAGTACCCCTCATGTACAGGTTTTATGGTGTTTTCAAAAGTTAGAGTCAAATATAAGGCTTGCGTTTCAGTTGTTTCACATAAAAATTCGCCAGGTTGGTTATGTTGCCTTTGAGACAGTACGGTAGCCCAGGAATGAAAATTACCCCCATGATGGCATACCATTTGCAATAGTTGACAACCCAGGGTATTGCAAATGGGGTATGTTCAGTCTTTTTTAGTAGCCACTTAGTCACAAACTGGCCAAAATTGGCGTTCAAATTAGTTTTTTGCATATTCAAATATTATCACTAACTTTGGCCAGTGTTTGTGACCAAGTGGCTACTAAAAAAGACTGGATATACCCCATTTGCAATACCTTGGGTTGTCTACTTTTGCAAATGGTATGCCATCATGGGGGTAATTTTTATTCCTTGGCTACCATATGGTCTCAAAGGCAATGTAACCAATCTGAGAATTTCAGTGTGAAGAAAAATGCAACATGCTATATTTGACCCTGTAACTTCCCAAAACACCATAAAACCTGTACATAGGGGTTACTGTTTTACACGTGAGATATCGCTGAATACAAATATGTGTATTTTATTGCAGTAAAAGCAAACAGTATTTTGACATTCACAGTTAAAATGTCACGGAGAACTAAGAAATTTTTTAAAAAATCTTATTTTCTCCTTTTTTTTATATTTTATTCATATTAAATTATGTTCCATACCTAAATATTTGATGTTAAATAAAAGCCCTCTTTCCCCTGAATAAAATGATATATAATAAGTGTGGGTGCATTTAATATGAAAGAGGTGAATTACAGTTGGAGAGACATATAGCGCAAATTCCAGGTTTTGGAACGTGTACATTTGGCTGCGGTCTTAAGGGGTTAAATGAAGAGAACCTATTAGGAAAGAAATAACAATGTCAACATATTTCATTAGGTACGATATGTTTACATTTTAACTAAATTCACGTATTTAAAGGACCACTATTGTGCCGTGAGGGTGCCCCCACCCTCAGGGTCCCCCTCCCGCCTGGCTGGGTGGCGAGGAAAGGGGTTAAACTTACCTTTATTCCAGCACCGGGCGGGGAGCTCTCCGCCTCTGATCCTCCTCTTCGACTGAATGCGCATGCGCAGCAGGAGCTTGCGTCTTTTCACTGTGATTTTCACAGTGAGAAGCACACAAACGCCTCTAGCGGCTATCAATGAGACAGCCTTTAGAGGCTGGATTAACCCATTTATAAACATAGCAGTTTCTCTGAAACTGCTGTGTTTATTAAAAAGGGTTAATCCTAGAGGGACCTGGCACCCAGACCACTTCATTAAGCTGAAGTGCTCTGGGTGCCTAGAGTGGTCCTTTAAAGCAGCACTGTCACACACACACACACACACACTCTCTCTCTCTCTCTCTCATACCTGAAACGCAGAGTATGGTATTATTATTATTATTATTATTTTATTACAATTATACAAAGGGAGTTATTTAACAAAAATGATTCCCAGACATATAATGTAATTTAGGTGAAGCTGCCTCTACTCAAACAAGCTTACTCTGTAGGGGAAATAAACTAGGACATGTATACAACTTTTTGTGGGTGCTCAGATATTTGTGGGGCATACTATTTATTGAGGAAAGCAGATATTTCTATACTATTTAACTTTTGTTTTTAAAATTGTTTTATTTTAATATACCAAAAGAATTGTATACATTGAGTTAAAATTGAGTCTAATGGATTCTCTGTTTGTCCCTTTCCTATAAAACAGAGAGTGGCTACTTACCTTTAATCAGCTACTGTAGCTGTTATTCATCTGGGAGATTAGCACTATGGATCTCCCATCCAGTGCAAGGCTTCTGATAGCTTAGCATTGGGAGATCAGGACATGTGAGGCAATTGCTGCTCTGCACAAAGAGTGCTTCTCATAGAAAAGCATTAAATCCAGTAAGAAGCATTAACTTCTGCTTTGTGCTGGGCAGGAAGCTATCAGGTGAATCCCTCTCCTGGCTGTCTGATTTCTGCAACTTAGCACCTTTATAAAAGTGACAATTTATATTGTACTAACTAACTATATAAAACAAAAAGAGGGGAGGCATACAATGTTAACCCATAGAACCCTTAAGCAACCTGAATAGCTCTAGGGGTTTGGATTGTTATGTATTTATTTTTCATCTAAAATATAAACATTTTGTTGCGCTGTTTGAAAAGAGGCAAAATTTAATGTTTCTCTTATAGACGTGACAAACGGTGATAAAGTGGAGTGTTTAAAAAGTGTTTACTCTTAGTAAAATGGTGTATCACGGGTATATAACGAATACATAAAGGAAGCAAACAAAAAACCAAAAATATATAATGTAGATCAAGTATGTCAAACTCAAAGGCTAACACGGGCTGAATAAACAAGGTTTAAAGGACCACTATAGGCACCCAGACCACTTCAGCTTAATGAGGTGGTCTGGGTGCCAGGTCCAGCTAGAGTGAACCCTTTTTTCTATAAACATAGCAGTTTCAGAGAAACTGCTATGTTTATAATAGGGTTAATCCAGCCTCTTGTGGCTTTCTCATTGACAGCCGCTAAAGGCGCTTCCGCGCTTCTCACTGTGATTTTCACAGTGAGAAGACGCCAGCGTCCATAGGAAAGAATTGTGAATGCGTTCCTATGGACTGGCTGAATGCGCGAGCCGCTCGTGCCACGCATGCGCATTCAGACGAGGAGGAGAGTCCCCCGCCCGGCGCTGGAAAAATAGGTAAATTTAACCCCTTCCACCCACTAGAGCCCGGCAGGAGGGGGCCCTGAGGGTGGGGGCACCCTCAGGGCACTATAGTGCCAGGAAAACGAGTATGTTTTCCTGGCACTATAGTGGTCCTTTAAGTTTATGTGGGCCCCCAAAAAACTTCAGTTTTCATAGTAGGTTTATTTAGAAAAGTACAGTATAAAAAAGTGCTTAACTGACACTGGACATCCTCATGCTCTTAGGGCTTAAAAGTAAACAAAAGAGCAAATTTATTTTAAGGAGACACACATTTGCATATACCCAATGTTTTAGTCCAACTACCTTGACATATTAAGAAAAGTTTGGTAATGGGACTGAAATGGTGAATGTATGCAGTTGCACAGCTGTAAAAAAACAAATGATGTTAGTTTGTTGATTTTCAAGTGAGTGTGTTCTTCACTTTGGCTGAGATCATCAAACTTCATTTAGGCTATTGTACATGTGTGGCAAAAAGCTGTGCCGCCAATCAGCATCTCCATGGGGACTGTTCAGCACCTTAATGCAGACCCAATCTAATACACTCCCCCATTCTAATACACTGCCCCCAAATCCAACACACTTCCCCGAAATCCAATACACTGCCCCCGTTCCTCCTCTCTAATACACTGAACCTTCCACCTAATCTAATACACTGCACCTTAATATAATACACCGCCCCTCCTCCCTCCACTCTAATTGAATACACTGCCCCCACTCCCACCACTCTAATTTAATACACTGCCTCTCCTTTTAATTAAACACACTGCCCCCCCACCCACCACTCTTAATACACTGCCCCACTCCCTCCCCCAATTTAATACACTGGGCTCCCTCCGTCCCCCAAATTAATACACTGCCCACTCCCTCCTGCAATTTAAAATACTGGCCTCTCTCTCCCTCAATTTAATACATTGCCCCCCTTCCCCAATTTAGCACACTACACAGGAAGGTCCCCCAATTTTATTGAACAAACCTACTAATGATAACAGTATTTTTTTTAAATATAAAAAACGTACAATGCACTGTTCCAAATTATTACGCACAGTAAGTTTCAAAACACTTTATAGGTTGTAAAGAGCTGAAAATTGTCAGTTGTTGTGTTTGCAGCATATTTACCGAAATCAGAAGCTATTTCAATCAAACTTATAACAACATTTTAACTTTTTTTTAACATTTTAACAGGTCACATTACGTTTTAACATAGGACCCCTTATTTGATAGCAGCTTCACAAGTCTTACATCCATTGAACTTGTGAGTTTTTGGACAGTTTCTGCTTGAATTTGTTTGCAAGATGTCAGAATAGCCTCCCAGAGCTGCTGTTTGGATGTAAACTGCCTCCCACCCTCATAGATCTTTTGCTTGAGGATGCTCCAAAGGTTCTCAATAGGATTGTGGTCAGGGGAGAATAGAGGCCACACCATGACTTTCTCTCCTTTTATCCCCATAGCAGCCATTGATGCAGAGGTATTCTTTGCATGAGATGGTGCATTGTCATGCATGAAGATGATTTTATTACGGAAAGCATAGTTCTTCCTTCTGTACCAGGGAAGAAAGTGGTCAGTCAGAAACGCCACATACTTTGCAGAGGTCATCTTTACACCTTCGGGGACCCTAGAGGGGCCGACCAGCTCTCTTCAGATGATTCCGGCCCAAAACACGACTCCACTGCCTTGCTGACGTTGCAGCCTTGTTGGAACAGGGTGGCCGTCCACCGACCATGCAGGGTTGCACTCATCAGTGAACGGGACTGTTTGAAAATTAGTCTTCATGTATTTTTCTGCCCAATGCAGTCGTTTCTGCTTGTTAGCATTGGTTAGTGGTGGCCAAATAGAAGGTTTATGCACAGTTGCAAGACTCTGGAGGACTCTACACCTTGATGTCCGTGGGACTCCAGAGGCACCAGCAGCTTCAAATATCTGTTTGCCGCTATGTAATGGTATTTTAGCAGCTTCTCTCTTGATCCGATGCATGACTCTGGCAGAAATCTCCCTCAATGTGCCTTTATCTGCACGAACCCGTCTGTGCTCTGAATCAGCCACAAATCTCTTAATAGTGCGATGATCACGCTTAACCCCTTAAGGACACAGCTTCAGAAGCTGGACTTAAGGACACAAGCAATTTTTTCATTTTTTGCTGTGTTCAAATGCAATTTGCATCTCTCTCATTTATTGTACCAACACATGTTATATACCGTTTTTTTAGACAACAAAAAGGGCTTTAGTTTGATATGACATATACATATATAAATTCTCATTTATTACCAAAAAAAATGCAAAATAATGTCGGGGGGGGAATGCTTTTTTCCCCAAGTTTTGGCAATAATAATGTGTGCATAATATGTCCAGCTTAGGAAAAGTAATTCAAAATCAATTCAGTTTATTTTGAAAGTTACAGGTCACAAACTACAAGGTCTAAAATAAAATTTCAATGTGAAACATTTTAGAAGTTTGTATGTTTGTCTTGGAAGTTTAATACCCATTACAGGAAACAAAATTGCCACACAAAAGTATATATTTATAAAAAAAAGTAGACATCACAGGCTAATTACCTAAGGTTAGTTTGACACTTTTTGCGTAGCCATTTCACCGCCAATCTCTGCTAAATATTAGAATAAAATTGTATATTTTCTCTATTTTGGCATATACACATATTACAAGGTTTTTGTAATGTGTATTTCGTAAACCTAGTGTGTGCTATCCCTGTACATCTGCTGAGTAAAACGATACCCCCATTCTGTGAAGCTGCCCCTATTCTGTGAAGCTACAATGCCATATAGGAGACCATGCTATTTCAGTTTCTATAGTTGGAATTTTCATAGATGGTCATATGGTATTGTAGCCATTTGACTGTTCAAATAACCCCACAAAGGCCTTCCATTTGAGAAAGCAGACACTCCAGGGTATGTTATTAGGCATACATTATACCTTAACGTGCCACCATTTTTTTACCAATTTATTTCAAATTTTGTGGTGAGAAATTTTTTTAAAATGTTTTTTACATACATGTTGCATTTTCGCTGGGTATTTCTTACATTTGATAAGTGCCACTGTCATAAATTCCCACTAAGTATGCTCAATTACCTCTTCTGAGTAAAACAATAAGCCCAATGTATGACCCAATGTATGACCTAGACACTATTTTGTGAAGTTACAGTGAAAGAGACGTGACAAGTTCAGGTTTTTAAGTGTGAATTTACATGGAGAGTTTTCTATTTTTAAATATGTTAGCATGCTGCTTTTTCCAACTACTCCAAAAAGGCATACTATTTCTTAAAGAAGACATCCCAGGGTATTTCAAAAGGCAAATTTTGAACCTTAGCGTGGGATTATTTTTCTGCTAGCTTGTACCAAGGGTAGTGGTAATAAGCATTTTTTCTGCTTTTTTGACACACACAGTGAGTTTGTACTGTGTATTTTACAAACCTTATGTGTGCTATGGCTATATAATACGTCCTATCTTGCTCAGCTATGTTGTCTGAGCACAGCAATACCCCCATATGTACCTTTGCCAGGTATATGCGGACATTGAAGGGGCACATTTGAGACACAGCCATTTAAGTTTTTTCAAACTTTACATTTTTACGCTGTGTCCATACCCCACTTTGGAGGTTTTTGTTGTAGGTTAATTATTCCAGCTACCCCATAAAGGCATACCATTTTTTAAAGAAGATACCCTAGGGTATTTCAAAAGACGTATTTTGAACCTTAGCGTGAAATAATTTTTCCGCTCGCTTGCACCAAGTGTAGTGGTAATAAGCATTTTTTCTGTTTTTTTGACACACACAGTGAGTTTGTACTGTATATTTTGCAAACCTTATGTGTGCTATGGCTATATAATACTTCCTATCTTGCTCAGCTATGTTGTCTGAGCACAGAAACACCCCCATATGTACCTTTGCCAGGTATAAGGGGACACATTTGAGACACAGCCATTTAAGTTTTTTCAAACTTTACAATTTTACGCTGTGTCCATACCCCACTTTGGAGGTTTTTGTTGTAGGTTAATTATTCCAGCTACCCCATAAAGGCATACCATTTTTAAAAGAAGACACCCTAGGGTATTTCAAAAGACGTGTTTTGAACCTTAGCGTGAAATAATTTTTCCGCTAGCTTATACCAAGTGTAGAGGTAATAAGCATTTTTTTATGCCTTTTTGACATACTCAATGAGTTTGTAATATATATTTTGCAAACCTTATATGTGCTACAGCAGTAGAATATATCATATGTTGCTCCGATATGTCATCTGAGTATAGCAATACCCCCGTATGTACTTTTACCAGGTATATGACAACGTTCAAGGGGCATATTTGAGACACAGCCATTTAAGTTTGAATTTTTACGCTGTGTCCATGCCTGTCACGTGCGTGGGCTATAGGCCCAGCCGAGACAGTGGGGAGATTGTGGAAGTGACAGGGTTAATGACACCAGACCCCTGGTTACCTGTTGCTAGTCCCAGCAACCACTCAATTAACCCCTGCAATCCCTTCTACACTAACCCCCTTAGTACACACTTTACTGCCACCACCAAGACTTTTAAACCCGGGCGTCTTAGGTTACCCCACACACAGGAGAATTATAGTATCACAGTTCTACTTTTACTGATAAAACATATATAGTTAACCCTTTTTGGTAACGTGTTTACCTGAGCTTTCCTCTGGAGAGTGAAGCTCATAGAGAACAGAGACACAAGCTGATTAAGTAAACATTTAATCTGACAAAAAGGATTCACAGTGCGGAGTACAAAATACATAAATAAATGACATACAGATAACAAATTGCAAAACAGTACATAAAATAAAATAGGAGAAAACACAAGAAATTCCTTACATGTAGTTACCCCATATAGAATTCTTGTGGGAGTCTTAGATGGTAAAGGTCTCCTAGAAGTTGCTGACAAAAGAAAAATGAATAACTGAACTCCCTGGATAGTCCAACACCCTCATATATCTAAACTAGTTGTTTCTCAGTGGGCAGACCCCTGGGGGGTGGGGGGGAGGGGATCAGAGGGGGTTGGTCTGGCAGTCTATTGCCCACTCTATGAAATTCCTTGTGTCCAGCTCTGGGGATGGCTATCTAGATATTTTATGGTCTAGGCCTGGTGCAAGATCAAAGACCACAATAAATGTCATCCCAAGGTTTACAAAAAAAACCAACATATATAAACACACATCAAACACCAACTCATGCTTTTGGCATGACAATGCCCAACTTTGGAATTTTTTTTAATAGGTTGTGTTTTCCAATTACTTCACAAATTGATACCATTTCCTAAAGAAGACACCCCAGGGTGTTTCAAAAGGCATATTTGAAACCTTATTGTGGTATCATTTTTTTGCTAGCCTGTACCAAGTGTAGAGGTAATACGCATTTCCCCCCCCTTTTTAAACATTTTTTGTAACTTTTAAAAAGTTTTATTTAGCTTTTAACAACTTATTTTACTATTTTAAAACTTTGTTTAAACTTCAAAAAGCTTTTTTCACTTTTTTTTTTTTAAACTTTTAACCCCTAACTAGCCCAACCGTAAATCCCCCAATTTCCCCACTAACTTCTACCCACCCTAGCAAAATAAATATTTTAAAATATTTAAATTAATTAAATACATTTAACCCCTGAGGATTAAAAAAAAAAAAAAGTTAACCCTCAGGAGTTAAAAAAAAAAAAAATCAGATCACAGTGAAATACTGTGATCTGTATTTTGATCACTGCAGGCAGTGATCAAAGGGCAGGGAAGGGGTTAAATTTTATTTGAAAGAGGTGAGGGGGGGTGGGATTTTGTAACTGTTTTTTTTTTTTTTTTTTTACAGGGAGAGACAGATCAGCACTTTCATTGCCAGCACGTGTGATCGCTCTGACTCCCGGTCAGAGCGATCACATGGGCTGAATCAGTGAAACTGCCCATGGTAGTGTGCCTCCGATATGGAGACACACTACAGGAAGATTAACCCCACGATTGCCGCGATTGTGGCAATCAGGGGTTCATTTTCATTTTGGACGAACATTTTCCGTCCAGCGTCCTTAAGGGGAGTGCTGCAATGACGGAAAATTTCCTTAAGGGATTAAGTTTTCGTGAAATATCTAATGTTTTCATGCCTCGTCCAAGTCATTGAACTATTTCACTCTTTTCGGCAGCAGAGAGATCCTTTTTCTTCCCCATTCTGCATGAAAATGGTGCTCTGCTTAATAATGTGGAACATCCTCCTTTAGTAGTTTTTCCTGAAATTGGGCTCACCTGGCAATCTAATTATCACAGGTGCCTGAGATTGTTTTCAGTGATCCAAAGATCCCTGAGACACAATGCCATCTATGAGTTAAACTGAAAAACAAAATATTTAATCGTTGTGACACTTAAATAGAATATGCATAATAATTTGGAACAGGGTGTATTAAAGGACCACTATAGTGCCAGGAAAACATACTCGTTTTCCTGGCACTAAAGTGCTCTGAGGGTCCCCACTCCCGCCGGGCTCTGGGGGAGGAAGGGGTTAAACTTACCTCTTTCTCCCGCGCTGGGCGGGGAGCTCTCCGCCTCTTCGGCTGAATGCGCATGCGCGGCAGGAGCCGCGCGTGCTTTCAGCCAGTCCATAGGAAAGCATTCGCAACTGCTATTTTTATAGAAAGAAGGGTTAACCCTAGATGGACCAGGCACCCAGACCACTTCATTAAGCTGAAGTGGTCTGGGTGCCTATAGTGGTCCTTTAATTTTTTATTATTTATATAGCGCAGGCAAATTCCGTAGTGCTGTACAATGTTATCAACGCCTTTATGGTAGCATACCACCGTCCATCAAGTGGGTCACCAAATGTGGATATGTAGAAAAAGGGAATTGGTTCTTATGTATTTTTGTTTTTTTTATATATATATATATATATATATATATATATATATATATATAGTGTAAAGAATATATAAGAACCAATTCCCTGTATGTATATAATGAATAACCACCTTTGTATAAATTATTTTTTTTAACTGCCCTCCCCTGCATGCCCTTTCCTGCCCATAAAAAACATGAAGCCCTCTGGATGTGGATACACCCCGCCCGACGTCCGTTCATCGGGGAAGATACGTAAGATGAGGCTGATCAGGCGGAGGTGTGTGGAAAGTGGGCTCACTCAAAAACCAGAAGTGATGTGTCGAGAAGGCCGCAACGTCACTTCTGGGTATAAGTCAGGCTGAGAATGGGAGTAAACACGAACTGGGGGGCTTGTCCAAGGGCGACTTCTACTGGGGGATATGAAAGAAGGGGTGGATACCCCTAATCAAACACAAGTGCCTAAAACAGAGGAATGGGCCAGTCTACATGACGATTGGCTACAACACCATCATGTGACCAGAGACTTCATTTGATAGCAGCAGTTAAAAACTGACACCTTCTGGAGCTACACACAGCCAACTGAGGAAACTCAATCAAGTGAAACGCGTATTGGCATTGGATTGCAAGGACTTAGTGTTTTTTACTTTTTATTTATATTTGTTTTATGAATTTGTACTATCTACTTAGCACAGTTTCGGTAGAATGTGATTCTCAGCTCCAAACGGGACCCATTTGAGGTCTTGCCAACCCTGAATTAGGCAACAGGTACTCAATTCCAGAGCTAGGATTTGTGGGCTCTGAGCAAGGTGAGCCTAAACTTTTTAAGCTAGTTCATATATAGAAATATGAAATATACTGTACCATTGGAGTTCTTTTTCTACATATCCACATTTGGAGACCCACTCGATGGATGGTGGTATGCTACCTATAAAGGCGTTGATTACAGAGCCAGTAGTTACAGGCTCTGGTCTATGTGAGTGGATCTTATCATTTATTATCTCAAATTCTATGTGCATTACCATCTACACTTTTATATTCTTGGTTTTGTTTCCTTCCTTTATGTATTCAATTTAAATATTTATAGCAAGTACCTCTACTTCCACTGCACCTGCGTATTACACCCTGAATGCAAAACTATAAGATAAGATAGCCATCCAACTTGGATCTGTTGTACACACTGGGATTTAGGCACACATAAAAGAACAGCACTTAGGAATCTGACAGTTTTCCCACAATCCCTGCTACACTTTCGGTATGTTGCCCCAAAATATTTTACTTCAAAAAGTAAAATTAGTGTGTTGTAATTAAGCGCTTAAAATTCTAAAAGTGAAATAGCAGCTCAAAACACTTAAATGTGGGAATACCCCTATGCCCACACACAGAAAAATACAAATGTGACAAACAGTGATAAAGTGAAGCACTAAAAAGAGTGTATGCATTTATATTTACTCTTGGTATAATTTCTGAGTTATATATATTCAAAACACAAGCAGATTGTGCTTTATGATGCATGATCGGTAATCTCAGCCCATGACTTGTATTAGAATCTTCTTGCAACCCAGTTTCCCTGTGAATAAATTTACAAGCTCATCGTACATCCAGTTTACTACCCATTGTTTCTACTAGATCAGTTAATTTTCTTGTTTGTTTTTATTATTAGATTTTAAAACAAAACATGTGCAGTCACAGTGCAATCAGGTACAGGTATCAAAGTTTGCCAAGATAATCATTAGATTAGATCAGTTAACAATATTACATAAGGCCTATGTAGCTGCTGGCAGCGCAATCACGCCACTCCTCACTCTACCATTTAATTCCGTGCTGCCGGTCTGCATGACAGGGATTGCTTTGAGACATCATCTGACAGACAAAGACTTTCTGTTACAGCGACAAGTAGCAGAAGGAATTCAAATGACACTGAAAAGAGCTGAACAAAAAAAAAATAGAAAGATCCCACAAATGGTATTGTCAACACAGTTTATACCATTTTAAGATGTAATCTCGATGTAGACCCAGGTCTACTGATAATGTATTTATTGTTTGAATGATTGTAAAAATGTAAATGTCATCTATAAAATGTAGTGTAATTAAGTGATTGGATGGTGACATACAGTAGATGTGCCCTCTGGCAATAAACAAGATCATGTGCATATTGTTAGCATTAATTAGTTTTTTTTACATTCATAAACCATCAACTGTGTAATAATTACAACCTTTTTTTTTACATAGCAACTGGACAAGTTAACATTATCTTAAAGTGTTTGTATTATATACACTCCATTGCAGATTGTTTCAATTTGACAACTTCTAGTCCAGCATCTTATAGACTCCAGAAGACACTAGGTATCAGCCTTGTTCTCTAAAGCTATCATGATACTTACACCATCGACACTGCCGATACGGCTTCTTTGCAGTTTGAATGCACAGCCCGCTTACACATAACAATTTAGACACTGCCCGTTCAATTGGAGCGTCCGCAAGTGCGGAACGTTCTTGGGACGTCAGTTCCAGTTAAGAATTGCTTGCGTCTCCCAGGCAACCTGTTTCCTTTTTCGAGTGGAATGGGTGATGTGGATTAATCAGAGCCGAGGTACTATCTACTTAGCACAGTTAATCCTGTTTTGTCCCTAGTTCAGTGCCCTATCGTGGTCTCTGCCTTATTAGTTCTTGTGTATTCCTGGATTTTTACCTAGTTTATGGGAATTTTTAGTACCTCTGTTAACTTACCAGGCTTGTTATATTGATTGCTGTTTATCTGGATTCCTGACTTATTTGGCTTATTTATTGACTTTGTCTCTCTCACTATTTATTATTATTATAGCCATTTATATAGCCCCAACAGATTCCATAGCACTTTACAGTTTATTATGTTAGGTCCAGACCTACCGGTAGTGATTTGTCTATCTCTATTTCTTCTGCTGGTGTTCCCATTTCCTCTGTATTTGGTTATACTGCTTGTGACAAAAGTTGCCCTGCCAAAAAAGCTGCAATTATTGTATGTGGGGTAATTTTCCATGTCTTGAGCAAGTGAAATACATTTTTGTGTGGAATCAGGTTTGAAGGTCTTGCATAAGTGCAATGCTTACTGGCACAAGGTCTTTGCCTTGCTTGAATTTTGAAGGATTTGATTGCACCTTATTATATAACAAATTCTGATAAAAATCAAAGTTCTCACCCTGCAAAAAAAAAAAAAAAAAGCGGTTTCTATGGTAACCATACATTCCAAAGCTGTAATACGATCTCTGCTATGTTTCACCTGTATCACGGGTGACTAAAAATTGGAGCCCCAGCCATTGAAATACATTACAAATGAGTCTTGCTAATCCTTAAAATTCTATAACATCTGAGGATCTACTGTTTGACCACCTCCTGCCTTACATCATACGCTGTTCCTTTCTATCTCCACACATTCCTTTTTACATTAATTAGTGTTTGGTTAGTGTTCCAGACCTGTACAGTTTTAATGCAATGTATGTTTTAACATACAGTGACTTGGCAGTCACTGTTCTTGGTGCTTGCTTTTCATCTTGTGGTAACCGTTAGAGGTTATTCTGGTGTCATGTACTCATTATGCTAACCCTTTGAGATTCCAGTGCCCACGTATTGTTCTCATTCTTTTCTGCACTTAAGAAGGGATTTTCCTTTGCAGTTGCACGTGTCTTTATGCCAACCACTTGAATAGGTATTTTGCTATTCCTGGTATGCTGGCATCTTCCTATGGAAAAGCATTGTGATTGGTTCAGATGAACACTTCTGAAGAAGTCGGCCAAGCAGGCAGATCAGAGGCAAGCAGCAGCAGACTGGAATTTAAGTAAAAATTGTACTATATTAAGGAGAGACTGGGGGGCTAGATGGTGTTATTAACACTATAGGACCAGGAATACATGTTTGTGTTCCTGACCCTATAGTACACCTTTTCATTTTTCAAATGTGAAAAGAAAAATGGCTGGGTATTTTTATTTTTTATTTTTTCATTTGACTTTGCATTATGTAAATTCCATTACTAGCTATTGTTGGTTGTCACACCTGTATTTGCATAGCACGTGCAGTGGATTAGGCTCCTTGGTTTGACTGGCTTTCTGCAGAATGGAGACATTCTATGGGCCAAGATTTCACTGTGGCATTTAACACAGCATCGTCAGCCACTGGTAAACATGTGTGTCATATTTTAGGCAGAGAATGCAAAAGGCAAAAACGCTATTTAAAAAAAAAAAAAAAAAGCCCCCCTAATTTTGACGTTTAATTATATATAATATTATGGCAAAAAGCCATGAAATTACAATCCGTATTGCCAAGATGACTGGTTAATATTAGTGTATCATTTTATTGCTGATTATTAATCACTAGTTTAGATCAAATGCCCTTGTATGATCTACCTGTAAATTCCTGAGTTATAATTTTATTTTTTATCAAGGCTGTAAAATCCCTATTAAGAATGTTGTAACCATGGTAACCAAACTAGGGCAGACTAGGTGATCTGATGTCCTCATCTGCTGTCACATTCTTTGCTAACCATATCACCATGGAAATCATTATATATAGGACATGTTCTGTGTCCCCTAGATTCACATATTAAACAGACGTGGACCTGTCATCTTGCACATGTTATGGCTGTTGTAGCTATAATTTAACCCCTTAAGGACAGAGCTTCAAAAGCTTGTCTTTCACTTAATGACAACAGCATTTTTTTCATTTTTTGCTGTTACAGAAAAATGTATTTAAAAAAATGAAGATTTTGTGGGGGTTTTTTTTTTACAGTTTTTGCAATAATAATGTGTGCATAATTAGTGCAGGTTAAGAAAAGTAATTAAAAATAAATTCATTTTGTTGTTCTGATTTACAGAATATATAATGTGTCTGGGATTTTAAGTTTTTTTTGGTAGTTACAGGTCACAAAGCACAAGGAGTAAAATAGACTGTTAATGTGGAGCGATTTTAGAATTTGGTATGTTTGCCTTGTAAGCTTAATAGCCATAAAAGAAAACAAAATTGCCACACAAAAGTATATATTAAATAAAGTAGACATCACGGGCTATTTACCTAAGGTTGTTTTGACACTTTCTACGTAGCCATTTCACCGCCACCGCAGAGGGCTCAATATTGGAGTAAAATTGTGGGGGGTTTTTGTTTTTTGGCACACAAACTTATAACAAAGAAATTCTCGTGTATATTTTGTAAAGTTGGTGTGTGCTATTCCTGTACAAAGTTTTATTTTGTGTTCAGTTACATCTGCTGAGTAAAATGACACCCCCATTGTATGTCTTTTGCACTATTTCGTGAAGTTACAGTGCCATACAGGATACCTGTCCTTTTCAGTATTCACAGTAGAATTTTGAGAGATGGATTTAATGAGCCTTAGCTTCCATTTGGGGTATTATAACAGTTTGACTGTTCAAAAAACCCCCACAAAGGCCTACCATTTGTAAAAGTAGACACTCCAGGGTATCTCATAAGGTGCATATTGTGCCTTAACATGCCCCCATTTTTTCACCAATATATGCCAAAGTATGTGGTAAAAAATAATTTTGTGCATTTTTTACATACGGATTGCATTTTTGCTGGGCGTTTTGTATATTTCATATGTGCCACTAAGTTCAAACCCCCCAAATTATGCTCAGCTAAGTCTTCTGAGTAAAATGACACCCCATATGAATGTCTTTGGCACTATTTTGTGAAGCTACAGTGCCATATAGGAGACCAAGCCATATCCGTTTTTACCAGAACTTTGAATTTTGATGCTGGGCCTATGTGCAATTTCCAAGCATCTTCGCAGGTTTTAAATTCAAACTACCCCACAAAGGCCTACCATTTCTTAAAGTAGACACCCCAGGGTGTTTCAAAAGGTATATTTTGAACCTTAGCGTGGGATCATTTTTCCGCTAGCTTGTACCAGATGTAGTGGTAATGAGCGTTTTTTCTGCCTTTTTGACATACAAAGTGAGTTTGCACAGTAAATTTTGCAAACCTTATGTGTGCTACAACTGTATAATACTTCATATGTTGCTCAGCTATGTCGGCTGAGTACAGCAATACCCCCGTATGTACCTTTGCCAGGTATATGTGGACATCGGAGGGGCATATTTGGGACACTGCCATTCCAGTTTTTTTCAAACTTTGAATTTTTATGCTGTGCCTACGTCCCATTTTAGAGTATTTTACCAGGCTATATAATCCAAATACCCCATAAAGCCATACAATTTCTTAAAGAAGACATCCCAGGGTATTTCAAAAGGCATATTTTGAACCTTAGCGTGGGATCATTTTTCCGCTAGCTTGTACCAAGTGTAGTGGTAATAAGCATTTTTTTTGCCTTTTTGACATACAAAGTGAGTTTGCGCAGCATATTTTGCAAACCTCATGTGTGCTATGACTGTATAATACTTCATATGTTGCTCAGCTATGTCAGCTGAGTACAGCAATACCCCCGTATGTACCTTTGCCAGGTATATGTGGACGTTGAAGGGGCGCATTTGAGACGCAGCCATTCAGTTTTTTTCTAACTTTGAAGTTTTACGCTGTGTCCATGTTCCAATTTAGAGTAGTTTAGACGGTTGGTTATTGAAACTTCCCCACAAACACATACTATTTATTAAAGAATACACCCTGGGGTGATTCAAAAGGCATATTTTGAACCTTAATGATAGTGTGCAGCGCAAAACAAGGTGATACCACAGAGTAAAATGTGATACATGCACTGTGAAGGTATATATACCCAATGAAAGATACACAGATACCCCAATGTATAAACAGAGTCAGATCTTAACTGAAGATCAGAAGATACTGAAGGATTCAATATAACCTTTCTCCTCTGTCAGTCTCTTTTTCAAATGTTTAGAGAGGAAAAAAATCCAAGGATATTCTTCTGTGTGGAGCTTGTTCCTCAAAATAAATAATGCAGAACAGGCACACCCGAAATCTGGATAAAATAGAGAAAGATACCTTATATATCAAACAAAAAAAGTATAAGCGAGACTTAGATGATTATAAAAGGGGTAACGTAAGAAAGAGTTATAACACCAAAATAGACTCCAATAATTTTGATGTTTTAAAAAATTATGAGAGACCCCAAAAAAAAACCCGCACACCATGGATTGCAAGACATCCATCCAGACAATACCAGAGAGAAATATCTAGGGACAGAGAATTTAGGAATAATTACGAATGGACAGAAGTTAGAAAGAAAAAAAGACAGTATCATCAGACACCTAGGAGAATACCTCATACTCATATTTCTCGGTCTCATCAGTACCAATCTAGAAATATGTCTCAAGAAAGAATATCAAATGTATGGCAGCCGAGATCAAAGTATTCTTATACTAGAGACAGGTCACAAGACAAGATATATAGGAATAGGTACGAACCCCTTCAAAATGTGGAAGAGTCGTTTTTTTTAGGGGCTCCAAAAACTCTTATCAGACCACCCCGTTCCCCACTAAAGAGAAGACGTTCTTCTGGGGTAGAGGAACAAGAGGAGGGAAGGGGAAAAAGAAGAGTAAGGAATGTATAAACAAAGATAGCCAAGAAGTGGAACCAATAAAAATCTTCAATTTGTCAGATAAAACTTTGAATGATAACCATACGAAAGTTCTGACAAAAGGTTTTAAATTTGCCCCTAGCTGTAATATTAATAAGTTTGACACTTTTGTAGACCTTAATAGGTTTATGCGAAAATTATGTTTAAAAAAAATTTTTTTGACTGAAGGACAGACTAAACCTATTATCTCTGAATTAGAAGAGTTTAAACATACCAATCTTCAACCTAAATCTACTTTTTTTCCCTATTATTTAAAAACAGCTAGTATGAAAGCTTTTGAGAAGGCATGTATTATTGATCTTAAAAAGATCAAACCCCTTTCTAAGTTTCAACAAAATCTTACATGGGGAGAAAGAAAGGCTTTGAAGGTCTAAAAAAGGACGACAAAATTATAATTAAACCAGCAGATAAGGGGGGGGGGGTAGTTATTATGAATAAAGAGTCATATTTAGAAGAAATTTTTAACCAATTAAAAGAAGAAACTACTTATGGTAAACTCAGTACTAATCCAGAACCGAATATTAAGAAAATCCTTTTAGTATTTTTGGGTCAAGGATTAGAAGAAGGGATTTTAAGTGAAGGTGAATACAAGTTTTTAAATATGGATAACTCAGTCATCCCGGTAATATATACCCTTCCCAAGATTCATAAGGATCCTATCCATCCCCCAGGTAGACCTATAGTGGCGGGGGTGGACTCTCTTTTGTCACCCCTGTCCCACTATATTGACACCTTCCTTCAACCTTTAGTTGTCAACACTCGTGCCTATTTAAAAGACTCTATTCATATTCTTCAAGCAATACAGGAAATTATTTGGTCAGAGGAATTTTATTTAGTGACTTGTGATGTGAGTAGCCTGTACACTATTATTGAACATCACAAAGGCTGCGAAGCAGTAGAATTTTTCTTGAAGAAATCTGATTCCTTTAAAGACCAACAGATAGAGTTTATTATCAGGGGTATCCAAATGATTTTAAACAACAATTTTTTTTGGTTTGAGGACAGTTTCTATATCCAGAGGAGAGGTACTGCCATGGGGACTAAGTTCGCACCCAGCTATGCTAATTTATTTATGGCTTTTTGGGAAGAATCTTTCATTTATGCCCAGCATGGCTGGAGTGCGAACTTGGTCCTCTATAGGCGGTACATTGATGACATTTTCTTTATTTGGAAGGGGGATTTGCCTTCTCTTAATGAATTTTTGATATATCTCAACACTAATTCTTGGGGTATTAAACTCACCTCCGAGATCAGCAATCAAGAAGTCCATTTTTTAGACCTTAGGATTTTTATTAAAAATGGTAAGATCGTGACGAGTACCTATTTTAAAACTGTCGACGTCAACAGTTATATTGACTGCGACAGTTGTCATTTTAAACCTTGGCTTTCTAATATCCCCAAAGGGCAATTTACAAGACTCAAGAGAAATTGTATGGAAGAAGACACTTTTTTAAATCAATCTGAAGTTTTAAAAAAATAGTTTTATCAGAAAGGATATGAGAAAGAAAGTATAGAGAAACAATTTAAAGCAGTATGTACTAGACCCACAGAAGAACTTTTAACTTATAAAAAGAGAGACAATAGTAATCAAGAAGAAAGAGTTTCCTTTATTTGTGATTTTAACTCTCAGAGCCATTCGTTTAAAAATTTTTTTAAAAGACATTGGCATATTTTAAAGCAAAATGAGGACTTACATACCTTTATAGGAGACCAACCGAGGATAATATATAGGGGTGCCAATAATTTTAAAAACATCTTAACTCATAACTGTATACCTAAAAAGATGGGACCTAATAAAGATGTATATGGTAATCCCCTGAAAGGCTTTTATAATTGTGGAAACTGTAAAGCCTGTAAAACTAGCAGAACTTTGACCAAGAAAACAGAAAAATTCCAGTCTAATACCACTAAAAAGGAGTATAGTGTTAAAGAATTTATAACCTGTAGCTCCAATAATGTAATTTATTTATTAACGTGTATATGTGGTTTACAATACGTGGGACGGACTATCCGACCACTAAATACGAGGATTAGTGAACATCTAAGGAATATACAGAATGGGGTATTAACCCATTCTGTATCCGCACATATCCACGAAAACCATAATGGAGATACTAAAGTTCTGCATTTTATGGGGATTCAAAAGGTTTCAAAACCCTGGAGAGGGGGTGACTATCTCAAGATCCTCAATAAGACAGAAATGAGATGGATCTTTGATTTAGAAACCCTCTCTCCTTATGGGTTAAACATTGACTTTGATATGTATAACTATATTTAATATTATCTCTATTTAATATTATCCCCCTTTTTTAATATTAGTATGAAGGTATTTTTAAGTATTATCTCTCTATTTATATGTGTTTTAATTCTCTTTTTATATGTCTATTCTCATTTATATGTGGATTTTATTATGGACTTTTATGGATCATAAGTTATGATCCTACAACATTCAGAGACTATATACATCATATAGGGAGTGAAAACGAACTTTCATTGGTGGTCCGTGGAACGCATAGAATGTGGAACGCATGCGAACTGTCATTGGTAGTTCGTGGAACGCAGAGAGACCGGAAGTGGAGCGCAGAGAATTGGAAAGCGGAAGCAACACGCCGCGGCTACAACAACCCGACGGGACCAAAAAGGACGACGGTCAACACGTCTGATTGGCTGCCTGGCGAAGGGGGCGGGTTGGAAGTACCCGTTTCCCGCGCTAATTTAGACATTTAAATGTATGTGGAGTTTATGAAATGTTATTGCACCTGAGGAAGACGATTTTGTTCGTCGAAACGCGTTGTGCCTATGGTATTCACATGTGAACAGCATCATTACAACCTCTATGTAAGAATTTTAATATTTTTTTGAATAAATGTGTATACTTGGTTTTGTAATTGGTGTGCCTGTTCTGCATTATTTATTTTGAGGAACAAGCTCCACACAGAAGAATATCCTTGGATTTTTTTCCTCTCTAAACATTTGAAAAAGAGACTGACAGAGGAGAAATGTTATATTGAATCCTTCAGTATCTTCTGATCTTCAGTTAAGATCTGACTCTGTTTATACATTGGGGTATCTGTGTATCTTTCATTGGGTATATATACCTTCACAGTGCATGTATCACATTTTACTCTGTGGTATCACCTTGTTTTGCGCTGCACACTATCATTGTTGTTTGCATTCACTTTACTGTGGGATTTTTGTGATTATTCCCACTTAGTGTGTTCCAGCTGCTGTGTCTAGCGCCACGGTCTATACTGTTTGCCTTTTTTCTCTATATTTTGAACCTTGGCGTGGGATAATTTTTTCTCTAGTTTGTTCCAGGTGTAGTGGTAATGAACGTTTTTAAAATGTATATTTTTTTTACTTTTTTTACTTTTTTACTTTTAAAAACTAGTTTTTAAACTTTTGTTTTACTTATTAATTTTTTTTAAACTTTCTTAAAACTTTTTTACAGATTTAACATTTTTCTAAGCTTTTTTTTTTTTTTTTTACCGTTAACCCCTAACTAGCAGTAAGCAGCACTAACAGTAAATTCCCCATTTTCCCATAACTCCCACCCCCCCCAGGTAGCAAAATATATAGTTATAAAATATTTAAATTAATTAAATAAATAAATTGAACCCCTGAGGGTTAAAAAATAAATAAAAGTTAATCCTCAGGGGTTAAAAAAAATTAGATCACAGTATAATACTGTGATCTGTATTTGATCGCTGTAGGCAGTGATCGACTGGCAGGGAAGGGGTTAATTTTTATTTGGACTAGGTAAAGGGGGGTGTTTTTTGTATTTTTTTACTTAAACGTTATTAAAACTTTTTTTAAGCTTCATTTTTAACTTTTTAAAGTTTATTTTAAAACTTTTTTTAACGTTAACCCCTAGTTAGCCTAACACCAAATCCCCCAATTCCCCACTAACTTCCACCCACCCCAGCTAGTTAAATATATAATTTTAATTAATTAATTAATTAAATTTAACCCCTGAGGGTTAAAAGAAAAAATCAGATCATAGTAAAATGTAATCCCTGCCAATTGATCACTGTAGTCAGTGATCAATTGGCAGGGAAGGGGTTAATTTTTTATTAAAATGGGTAAAGGGGGGTGGGATTTTAAATTAACTTTTTTTTTTTTTTTTACAGCAGGGGGCAGGATGTGCACTGTTCCGGCTCCCTGCACTTCACACAGAACCAGGAAGTGCAGGGAGGCGGAAGGTGAGTATAGAGAGCACATGTGCTTGCTCTGACTTGCGGTCAGAGCGAGCACATGTGCTGGGCAGCCTGACCGGGTGCTCGATCCGGGGTTAATTTTATCGCGTGATGGACGAGGTCCGTCACTCGTCATTAAGGGTCTCCCCTCTGTGACAGACCTCGTCTGTCACTCGGCGTTAAGGGGTTAATACATTGCAATAGTCAAGTCATGACCTTAAAAGATTTGCGCTCATTTCTTTCCATAAAGGATGTTTGCATGGTTGAGTATAATCAAAGCAATCACTTTTGGATTTACATTTGCTCCTGTGTATTGCATATTGTGTTAGGTATACTTTATATGTTTCTTGCATGCATTTTTTTTTTATCCGCTCCCTGGTTGTGGTTGATTTCAGAAATAGGCAGTGTACATATAGCTTTTTTTTATTTTTTTATAAAATGTATTTATTTTATTTTTAAATGAGGGGGGTGGAGCCAGCAGCCAACCAGAGCAGAAGCATGTCAAATGAGCGCCACTAAAATCAGCCTTAACTTGGCAATTATACGACCCAAATCACACTTATTGTGTCCCACATCAAGCTATTACAAGATGGGGAAGAAATCTAAGCATGAGGGTACCACGATATTGGGGACCTTTTCCTCCATCCCGCTAAGGCTTCAGGAATTCCTGCGCCATAAGAAAATGGTGACACAACCTCGGCCTCCTCCGAAGAACAAGCGCTGGGTGAGTTCCCAAACACAGGGGGATTACACCACCCCTCCTGCCTTCCACTAAAGGAGGTATAAAAGACCTTCTCTGCCACATCCGCATGATGTTCGCAGCAGGCCTAGCCACCATGTAGGAGGAGATACAAACGGTGGAAGGACGAGTTATGGCAGTTGACAAAAACACGCAGGGCCTCACTACTCTATGCATACAACTAGAAGCACAAAATGCAGAGTTACAATGCACCCAGTCCCTGCTTACTTACCGCTTGGACGCAATGGACGATCGGCACAGGAGCCGGAATGTCAAAATCCTGGGAATCCCGGAGACGGTGACCCAGGAAGACCTGACACAATATACCAGGAGATTTCTCAACTCCCTACTCACGCCACAGCAGGCGAAACAAGTAGTGATTGATGGGGTCTATTGCATCCCGAGAGCTACCAGAGCCCCAACAGACTCCCCAAGAGATATAATATTACAACTCCAAACAAGGTCAGCTCAAATAAACTTCATGGCAGCAGTGCGAGGCGTATCTACTCCGCTTTCTCTCCCCCCTTAAATGTGGAACTCTACCCCCACTTGCAGACCACACAACATCGTGCACGGACCCAGGCGCCTTTAAATATACCCCCAACGTACCGCAGGTTATGCCTTTCCTATAGTTTCGAGGCTGATAATAGGCAGACATAGCTCACAACCAACACTAGCCGAGACGCTCAAATAGTGACCACTAACAACTATAGAACCCAATAACACTGCAGGCATGCAACTTCCTCTTCCAAACTTTAAATGCCAGTTATATATATTACTCTAAGTATGTGTATTTCTTTTTGGCACAATTCCCTAGCAAAAATGGGCACAGCATGTCTATTACAAGTACTGATCATTCAATGATGCCTATTACATTATCTCACCAAAATGCATTTAACCTGTAAATCTTGAAACATACAGTTTAGCTTAACCTGCATTGGGTAGGGCTTACTTGTTATTTTAATGACTATTTTCTCATTCTCCTGCAATATAAGCGAGTTTTATAATGCTTTTACTAAGGCTATGTTTTGTTTATCTTTATCCTTCAGACATGTTTGACTAGCCTGCGACTTTGCATCTTAACCTAAAAATGTGTGCAGTAATCTTAGATGCCTAATACTTGCTCAAATATGTATCTTACAACCTTTGTTACTGCTGTTGGTGCATTGCAATAAGGTATGTTAAATGTTTACACCACAAAAATAAAGAGTTTAAAAAAAAAAAAAACCAAGGCTCCAACTGTGTTCCAAGATACTGAGAATTTTTCCTCGTCTCACTGAAGTGGTGTGGGTGCATTGGCCCTGCCATTTTTCTCACACAATGTAAAACATTGCTGTTTGGGAGATACATCAATGTTTTCATTGTGGGGTTAGAAGATACCTCTAGTGTCTGTCTTCCTGAAATCCACTAGATGGAGTTTTCTGGTGACAGATAAAGGTGAGTTCTACTTACCTGAATCTGTCCCACGTGCAGCCATCTTCCTCTGGCGGGTCCTCTTCACTCCTGGCATTTCAGCGCCAGTAACTGACATCACTGCTGTACTCTTGTGCGTGCACAAGAGTACAGTGTTGAGGTCTGCAGTGGATCCTTTGGGATCCTCCATAGAAAGAGCCAATTCCCTGCTGTCTGGATTGACACTGTAGCTCCCCCAGTGTGTATGAAAGTCAGGAACAGGAAACATACAGACACCCGTTTTCTATGATTTCTTATTTTTTACTGATACAAATTAGTCTCTACTTTGTATCAGTATATCTTTTGACTGAATTTGTATTTCATAAAGATTCTATATTCAGGTGGGGTGACAGTACCATTTTAATTTTTGCATCTGGGCTATTGCAAAGCATTTGTTTGTACAAAATGGTCATCAAACCTGATGACCTCAGCAGAAGCTGTCCGGTTTGCTTAGAAGAAATCGTCTTAGAGCTGGACTGCAGGTAAGTAACAGGTTAAGTTAAAGTTTTTTGTAACAGTTAACCTATCTCAAAAACATATCTTGCATCCGCCACTATTTAACACCACACGCAGCTAAGATGCTGGTCCATGCCTTTGTTTTTTCTCACATTGACTACTGCAATCCCCTTCTCAGTGGTCTAACGTGTTCCCAGATTGCACTGCTGCAATCTATAATGAATGAGGCGGCAAGGCTCATTTTCCTGTCCGCCCGCACCTACCACACCTCCCCCTCTGTCAGTCTTTACAGTGGTTTCCAGTTAGATATAGGGCTCAATTTAAGATTCTGGTGCTTGCTTACAGGTCCCTACATAATGCTGCTCCAAACTATCTATCCTACACAAGTATGTCCCGTCGAGGCCCCTGCGCTCTGTTGAAGACCTACATCTATCCTCTGTCCGTACTCCCACATCTGATGCTCGCCTCCAAGACTTCTCCAGGGCTGCACCTTTTCTGTGGAACTCCCTTCCCTTCCTTGTTAGACTTTCACCCAGTCTCCACTCCTTCAAAAAATCTTTGAAAACAAACTTTTTTAGGAAAGCGTATCATTTAAACTGTTAGAGGGTTTTCATCCCCCACCCCATGACTCCCCTCCTGAAACTGTTAAAAATAACTTACTAAGTTCCCAGTGAATACTTTTCTAGCAACCTATTTCATTACCCCTACTTATACCCTTTGTGTCACTATAACCCACTCCCTCTGCCATGTAAGCTCACGGAGCAGGGCCTTCAATCCCTCTGTTACTGTGTCACTATACCCCACTCCCTCTAGCATGTAAACTCACTGAGCAGGCCCTCAATCCCTCTGTTACTGTGTCACTATACCCCACTCCCTCTAACATGTAAACTCATTGAGCAGGCCCTCAATCCCTCTGTTACTGTGTCACTATACCCCACTCCCTCTAACATGTAAACTCACTGAGCAGGGCCCTCAATCCCTCTGTTACTGTGTCACTATACCCCACTCCCTCTAACATGTAAACTCACTGAGCAGGGCCTCAATCCCTCTGTTACTGTGTCACTATATCCCACTCCCTCTAGCATGTAAGCTCACTGAGCAGGCCCTCAATCCCTCTGTTACGGTGTCACTATACCCCACTCCCTCTAACATGTAAGCTCACTGAGCAGGGCCCTCAATCCCTCTGTTACTATGTCACTATACCCCACTCTCTCTAGCATGTAAGCTCACTGAGCAGGGCCTCAATCCCTCTGTTACTGTGTCACTATACCCCACTCCCTCTAACATGTAAGCTCACTGAGCATCACCCTCAATCCATCTGTCACTGTGTCACTATACCCCACTCCCTCTAAAATGTAAACTCACTGAGCAGGGCCCTTCCTCTGTTACTGTGTCACTATACCCCACTCCCTTTAACATGTAACCTCACAGAGCAGGGCCCTCAATCCCTCTGTTACTGTGTCACTATACCCCACTCCCTCTAAAATGTAAACTCACTGTAACCTCACAGAGCAGGGCCCTCAATCCCTCTGTTACTGTGTCACTATACCCCACTCCCTCTAAAATGTAAACTCACTGAGCAGGGCCCTTCCTCTGTTACTGTGTCACTATACCCCACTCCCTCTAACATGTAACCTCACTTAGCAGGGCCCTCAATCCCTCTGTTACTGTGTCACTATACCCCACTCCCTCTAACATGTAAACTCACTGAGCAGGGCCCTCAATCCCTCTGTTACTGTGTCACTATACCCCACTCCCTCTAACATGTAAACTCACTGAGCAGGCCCTCAATCCCTCTGTTACTGTGTCACTATACCCCACTCCCTCTAACATGTAAACTCACTGAGCAGGGCCCTCAATCCCTCTGTTACTGTGTCACTATACCCCACTCCCTCTAACATGTAAGCTCACTGAGCAGGGCCCTCAATCCCTCTGTTACTGTCACTATACCCCACTCCCTCTAGCATGTAAACTCATTGAGCAGGGCCCTCAATCCCTCTGTTACTGTCACTATACCCCACTCCCTCTAACATGTAAGCTCACTGAGCAGGGCCCTCAATCATACAGGGGTATGACTATAGTGTCATAACTTTTCTATCAGACCCGTTTGAGTATTTCCGCAACAGGTATTTTTATATATTAAAATATATCAAGCCTGTTATTAATCCATCAAACATCTATCACCAATGGGGATTAAAAAAAAAAAAAAAAGTTTTTAATCACACATCGAGCATGTTATACTTATTAAAACCTCTTTTTTGTGCTAGTCAATGTTCTCTGTTGTTCTATTTAAATTGCTAGTAAATGTGTGCGTTCATTTATTCGCCTGTGAATCATTCTTGAGTGTAACACATAAGCCGGTGATTTATCTGGCACATCTTAGAGGCTAAATGTTATGTTGGGTACATTTAATTATACAGTGACATTCGGCCTTTGTTCTACAATCCTTAGGAATTGCAAAGCAGATATGGTTTGAAGTCTACATAAACTGTATCATTTTACTGCTCTTATTAAAGCTGGTACCAGTGATATAGGTACACAGTGAGTGCCCAGGCATTGCTCTTATTAAAGCTGGTACCAGTGATCTAGGTGCACAGTGAGTGCCTAGACATTGCTCTTATTAAAGCTGTACAGGTACATAGTGAGTGCCCAGGCATTGCTCTTATTAAAGCTGGTACCAGTAATATAGGTACATAGTGAGTGCCCAGGCATTGCTCTTATTAAAGCTGGTACCAGTGATATAGCTACACAGTGAGTGCCCAGGCATTGCTCGTATTAAAGCTGGTACCAGTAATATAGGTACATAGTGAGTGCCCAGGCATTGCTCATATTAAAGCTAGTACCAGTGATATAGGTACACAGTGAGTGCCCAGGCATTGCTCTTATTAAAGCTGGTACCAACATTGCCCTGGGCTGTAACACCACTAATAAAACATATTAATAGTCCATACATGGGTTCACACTCCATACATGTACATATTAGGGGTTGGCCAGATTATGTTAGCTATGAATGATAAGATGTAACAATTGCTGTTTCTTTCTAGCTAAAGCTTTGTTTTTTTGTGTTTCACTTTATTTAATTTTTTACCAATTTATCCCAGTTGAACTAACATTTTAAGAAAACTTTTTGCATCTTATGAATACATAAGGCTTGCTGTAGTTTCGTACTTAGTGTCAGGTGCAGCAAAACATCAGTAATTCAACATAAGCAAGACAAGGAAAAACCCCAAATCTCCAAGACTGCAACCTGGGCAGTTTTGGGGGCTTGTCTGGTGAACTATGCTTTTATACATCTGCATAGTATTTCATTTCGATTACAGGCTTACTCTGTGTCATATGGAGTGGAATTGTCTGGTGTTGTATGATGTGGTTAATCACCTGAAAGGCTCATCCAAAATGTTAAATTAAACAAGTTCATCCGGTTTATTCATTGCAGTTAAATAACAAGGTAAGCTTTTTATTTTCTAAAGCTAATTTGAATGTCAGCCAGTTAGCAAATACAGAAACCTAATTTTTACTACTGAATGGACAGTGAGTAGGGTTCAGGAGGGGGTGCTGGATAATCTAAAACATACAAAATCCGGGAGACTGACATTCGAGAGCCAGAGCACAGGCTCAGGCAATGCAGCAAGATAGTTTGCTTTTTACCAAATAGGGGAAAACGCAAGGATTCTATCCTAATAAAACGAGGTTCAAGCATAACAGATAAAGAGAAACAAAGGTCCTCCCACCTCAACACCCATTACTTTGTACCTGTGCTACTCTGAGCAAAATAGATTAAAATTCAAAATAGGTCCAAGTGTGAGAATAAACATTATGTACTTTCTGCAGTTGTTGACAGTTACTCACTGCTACTCACAGTAAGAGGTTTCTTAAATTTCCTTACTATGACCCATGTTCTGTTCTGAAGGCTAATTTCAGCTCTCTGTTTGCAGTGGCAATGGCCGAACTTTGCCGCCTTTCCACTGCTCCTCTGACAGCCGTAGATGATTGAGTGGAGTATGAACTGAGACTGTCAGACGACACTGAGAGCAAAGCAGTTTGTTGCTACAAAGATACATGCTTGTTGTACATTGTAAGGTGGTTACAGCAGTTTACTGTTAGTTTAGCAAACAGAAATAAAGATAACCCCTTGATATTGGAGATTAAAGTGGCTCCTTAACAGAGAACTGTGGTTCCCCTCCAGCTTAGCAGGTTACATGTGTTGCGGACAATGCAGCAGGAAGGAGTGTGTCAAAGTGCCAGTAGGTTAGATTGTCCTTTGCAGGTGGCTGGAAGTAAAGGGTTAGCGATCCAGATGTACAACTGTCTTCCTGTGTCTCAGCATGACAATCGCATCTGTCATCACTACACCTGACAACATTACCCTATTAATGTATTGTCTTATTAAACCCTAACAGTGATGTCGTTAGCACTACTCTTGGCAATATGCATAACACTAGGAATGTGCTTATTACACTTAAAACAAAATTGCATTGTTTCAGAACTATTTATTGTCAAATTTTGTTTTGACATAACATGTCAATGTAGATGATTTAAATGATATAATGATAAACATGTTTTATTTTAGAGACAAGCTACGGAAACAAACCGCTGTTCCTGCCTTTGTTTCCTCTCACCTTCCAGGTGCTTCATTTATCTTCCAGCGGGTCTTTTTAAAAAGTTTTTTTTATTTTATTTTTTTAAATATTGCACCAGTTAGCAACTTACATTCACAAGCTCCCATACTGCACATTAAACACAGTATCCAATAATAGTCATATTTGCTGGTAATCATATGTAGCTTGCTGGTGGCCAGCTACTAGTCCAGAGTTTGTTGCCTTTTGGTATCAAAAATATATTTATATTGGCAGCAGCCATAAACATTCTTGAAGATAGATGTACATAGTCTTAATGTGCATCCCCAATTTACATGATCCTTACTCCAAAGACCCTTCTCCCTGTATTAATTTATTTTGCACCATACAGGGACCCTCCAAGCACCATAATCAGTACAGTGTACTGGTACCAGGGATGACCAGAGGCCTCCCCAGTGTAAGTAGTAAAACCATTGCTTTTTACATAGGTCAATCCTTCTAAGAGAGCCTGAAGCTTCGTCATGGAGTTTACGTTAGTGTCAGATGATCACTGTGAGCCAGTGAACTAAGCTTTTAGCTCTCATAGAGGAGGTGACTGGTACCCTGCAGCTCCCAACAGGTAAGTTGTCAAATTGTTACCTAATGGTTTCACTATTTATAGGGGGAGGAGGGAGCAAGACACTCTACAGCACACTGAGAGGGTGATGGTGCCTGGAGTGTTCTTTAACATGTCACAACACTGTCTCTGTCTGTGAACTTTGAAAAATTCCCATTTCTACCCTTTGATCCTCCATACTGAAGAAAAAAACCCTGTATATTAGGACTCAATGGTAAGGACTGTTCAAGCTGCAAGATTTTGACTAAAGTGGTTTTTTATTTGTATGAGCAAGGTTAAGAGATAGTAAGAGAAGAGAAAGTGATTTTTTTATTATAATTTATTTAATGGGCATAGAAAACAACCCTTAAAGGACCACTCTAGGCACCCAGACCGATTCAGCTTAATGAAGTGGTCTGGGTGCCAGGTCCAGCTAGGGTTAACCCATTCTTTCATAAACATAGCAGTTTCAGAGAAACTGCTATGTTTATGAATGGGTTAAGCCTTCCCCCTAATCCTCTAGTGGCTGTCTCATTGACAGCCACTAGAGGCGCTTGCGTGCTTCTCACTGTGATTTTCACAGTGAGAGCACGCCAGCGTCCATAGGAAAGCATTATGAATGCTTTCCTATGTGACCGGCTGAATGCGCGCACAGTTCTTGCCGCGCGTGCGCATTCAGCCGACGGGGAGGAGAAGAGGAGGATCGGAGGAGGAGAGCTCTCCGCCCCGCGCTGGAAAAAGGTAAGTTTTAACCCCTTTCCAGAGCCGGGCTGGAGGGGGACCCTGAGGGTGGGGGCACCCTCAGGGCACTATAGTGCCAGGAAAACGAGTATGTTTTCCTGGCACTATAGTGGTCCTTTAAGAAGCAGAGGATAGCCGTCATACAGGTCTATCAATTTGTCGTGTGGTGGTTAGTTCTACATACAGTGAATGTTTATCTATTTTTAAGATTTTTATTTGGCTACTGTGCATGGAGCAAATTATACATGTCCCTTCTTATTGGACATATTAACTATTTTTAGTGGAAAAATAAAGCTTTAATGCAATACATTATGTGCCTGTCTCCTCTCCCTGTACTGTTTTAAGTGCATTACCTGTTCATTTTTTTCTTTTTTATAGTATTGTTACTTCAGGGCTCGACAGTTGCCAGGTTGCCATGGCGACTAGAAATTTCGCCCTGGCGCCTGGGGTGTCAGCCCTTTAATTAAGACGCCCACCCGAGGGAGCATTGAAGCCGGCTACGGTGGAGAATACTGGAGCCGGCCGGCTCAGGGGTTACATTGACCCTATTCTTTATATGGCTGTGGCAGCATGGGGGCCGTCTGCCTACAGAAGCAAGGGGGCCACCCACCCACGGGATCATTGTAGGCAGCATGCGAGGGAGCAATAATCTACCTTCTGCGCCCGCTTGCGCTGTTTAATGATGCCGGGAGCCAGAATATGACGTCACTCCGGACAGTGCATCACTACAGAGAGAGCGAGGGAGCAGAGATGAGATGCAGGAAGAGAGCAGCCCCATTGGACCCCAGGGAAAAATCCACTCAGCTCTCCCAAAGGTAGGGAGGCTGTGTGGATTTCCGTTAACATACAAAATGTCAGTTTTGTGTGTGTGTGTGTGTGTCTGTCAGTGTGTGTTTCTCTATCAGTGTGTGTTTGCATGCCTGACAAAGAGCATGTGTGCCCCTGTCAGAGAATGTGTGTGTGTATAGGTACCTGCCCCCCTCCAATCGCACGACAAGGATGTATTTACTCGCCTTTTATCCCACACCATGCCGATTTCACTTTGGCTGGTCCTGCCTCCATTAATGAGATCATCCACCTTTATGATCTCAACTAAGCCAATACTTTCCTCATAGAGATGTTTTGAATCTATGGGGAACGTTCAACACCTCCATGCAGAGCGTGGAAACGCCGAAAGTAGGTGCTGCACACAGTGTTTACGTTGAAAGGTCTACAGGTACAGGCTATAGACACCAGAATAACTACATTAAACTGTAGTGGTTTTGGTGTCTATAGTGTCCGTTATGAATTGCATTTTTCTCATTGAAAACTAAACAAAATTCTTTATAAAGAAAACTGGCTTCTAACTTTTTTATCTGGCTCCTAGTTTCCAGAGAAATTTGTGAAGCCCTGTGTAACATAATTGTTCATAATATTGTTATACATCAAAATGTTGTTTTTGTTGATGTTTTACTCCATGGAAAAATTCTACTCAGGAGAAAAGCATATTCTTTTGAGATTATTGTAAAGTGTATTTTTCCTGACCATGTCCCCATCAAGTTTTAATATATTTATGCACAGACAGACATCGCCGACTCTCTGTATTTATGGCCCTGCACACAGCAAGAATATGCTTAGTGAATCTTCTGAACCGCTTTTATATTATGTGCTTTCAGCTGGCTTTTTTTCAGATTATGCTTACACTTCTTTTTGTTGATTGCTTTTAGGCTAGAGTGACCGATATATATCAGTTGGATAGAAAATACTCTTAAAAAGAGTTGCAAAATTACCCTTACTGCGCCCAAGTGGGAGCACATTTAAAAATCTACGTTCTAAACTTTCACGGATTATTTTTTCTTAAGTGAACCTGTCATTACTTCTGAATTGCCTCGGTCTGGGAGATGTACAGTGTGCGGACTGAATTGTTTCCAGGTGTATAGATCAAGATAAGTTTTTGCTGAGCAGATATCACTGGCAGCAGTTATACGGATGCACAATGCAGGCGGTAGTTTGTTGCCATATGTAGTGCTTGTTTAAGGCAGGCAGTTAGATGAAATTCATTGTGGCTACTCTTTCATCGGATTTTATTATTAACATCGCTGTTATTGTAGTGTCAATCTCTAAAGTAGTAATATTCCTAACTTACCTTAATCAGCCTCAATATCTGTAAACTTTGTTTTTGGAGGACTGGACAGATGAGAATTGTAAACTACATGAAGAAAGCAGATTCCTGCAATGCAGCAGTGCTATATCGACCTGAATACAAGTTGGCATCTAAATGAAATACATTTTGTAATGATCTTCCTTACTGAATGGCACTTATACATATCTTATTATGTAGCTTTGTATTATAGATATGCCAGAGTACCTTACATTGCAGACACAAACAACAAAACATCATATCACAACACGGTACTTGTAAGTATAATACATACCAGTATGCACCTTCCTAATTGCAATGAACTCAGTGCTGTTATGGAGTAAGATGAGATGATTGATGATTTTCTCTGTTTTGCTGGTCAGCCTGCAGGCCAGTCTGTGAGCAGGCAGATGGCGAGACTTACTTGCCTTTCCAGAGGTGTGAGCACCTTAATGCACGAGTACTAACATTTCCCCATATGCTGTTGCACTAATAACCCAGAAATTGATGTGAGCTTTTGTTCAGTGATATCTGGGCTGGCAGAGATTCCCACTCCTGCCTAAATGCAATACCTAAATCTTAAAATCATGTGTGCTACATGTGCTTGTCACGTGTTTCCAGCATGTTGAAAGGATATTCACACACGTTACACGTGAGCATTGTAGCACACAAGTCACATCTGCGAGCTGCCGTTGTTGCATATAATGTTCTCCCATCCAACTGTATGGAGTGCTGTATGCATGTTATGCTGTTAACGAATCGTTATCAATGCACCTCCTGTCTCCACATGTCTGCAAAGATTATCATATGCTGTGTTCATTGAATGTCTGTTTAACAACCAAAGATGTGTCTAGAACTAGGTGCAATTTCTGTATTTTCAGTGATTGCAAATGTTAACATTAGAATTTAGGTATCTTCACACCTCAGCAATCTAACCATGAAAATGACCTATTTTTGCTTCTTCTGGATGTGGGATTTATGGGATTAGAAAACCCCCATAGATCACAACGAGGGGATCCTAATTGATGAAGACCCTTCCTGCTCTGGGGGTGGACCAGCTGCAGAACTTTCCTTCTTTGTTTTAAATATTCTTTGTACATTTATTTATTATGTATATTGAGGTAAATTCCTGCATATTGGGTCCTTTTTAAGTTGATTGTATTTTTTTTCCCTTTCTGCCTGTTAAAGGGGAAATCCAGGGACTAAAATAGCATATTTGCATTCTAGTAATTCAATAATAGGAAGATATGTATAGCCCCCTTGAGTGCCCCTCTGACATTACTCTTGTTTTAGAATAGAGGTTGCATGAGTGTGCAGCTCTGTGTTCACTAGTGCATATTTCCCCATAAAATCACTAGGATCCTCGTGCATAACTACAGTACAGCCAAGTATATAGATGTAGTAGGTTTATTGTTTTCTAAGGGTGAGCACTGAGTATGGAGGTCCTTCTTCCTTTGATTTCTGAAAGCAAACAGGGGATTGGCTGATATATCGCAGGCACTTCCTGGTGGTAGCAGAGGTCTCTAAATTCTACTGGAGTGAAACCTTCTCTTGTGTTGTCTTTTTATTAATATTATTTTTTAATAAACATACATTCATGTGTATTACTTTAGAAAGAAAGAAAAAAAAAAGAGGAAATTGGTTATGAATGTCCTATATAGGTAAGTTTAGTTTTCTGTTTTTAATTCTATAAAAATACAGAGTAGTAGTCGTGATGCAAGTGGTATAGCAGGGTAGGATAGTTTTCTATGCAAAGTCTCTGTGAAATGTTTAGAATAAGATGCACAACCAGTCAGGACTGTGCTGTATGGATAAACATATTCTAATAGCAAGATGCGTGTGTAAAACAAGTTGGCGTGGGCTAGCTTAAACAGGTTAGGAATGCAATACTTGCTTATTTGCATTTTTCTCCACCTGGCGTTTTCTGAAGAGCTATCTCATGCTCCCAACTCGTGACATCGTTTAACTGTATTGGTTGGAGCACTTCACCCCTCCAGATAGAGTGTAGTTATTTAATATGCTTAATTAGCTTTCAAGTCTTGTTGTATAAAAACTCTAGATGCTTTCACCCATTGGATGAGAACACTTCTCCTGGCTACTAAATAACCCCTTGCCTTGTGCAAAATTATATATGTTGTTGTTGTTGTTGTCATATTTCCCCCTCCCTCTCCAAGTCTAAAATAAAACTGCTTCCATTTAGTATGCTAAAGATTTCTTCCTGGTTATTTATATATTTAATTGCTATTATTGGTCACACCTTGTGAGATAGAAGATGAGATCCTGCTTTTAAAGACCCTGTTATACGGGAGAATTCCTGCAGCATTATGCTTTTGTTATATCACAATGTATAAAGCTGGTATGAGGATTGATTCAAAGGCCACTGATATTTCCCAGGCTCTGTTTGACATTATTACAGTTACAGACATTTTTGGCAAGCAGGAGTTTTTTAAAAGTGTGCACCTTTCATAGTTTTTTTCCCCCTCGCATAGGCCTGGCACTGCAGCCAAATACATAGCGAGGCATGGGTCTATTTTAAACCAGATGGCTCACAAAGGTATGCCTGCGATCCGTGACCCACCTCTGACTCACCATGCCTCCAGAGGAAGATTTAAAAAGGACATGTGTGTGTCTTAAATAAATAATCAACCTAACATAAATGTCCGTGCATATAAAGCCATAGATGCAGATCCTCACAGCGATGGTTATTGAAAAATTAAAAGAGTGAGTCTGTCTGTCAGTGAGTGTGTCTGTTTACGTTACCAGTCCCACTTCCGATCGCATGGGGAAAATGTTTTTTCTCACCTATTTACCATGCTGTGCCTGTCTCACCGCGGGTTGCCTTGCCTCCATGGCTGAGATAATCAGTCTTGATGTCCTAAGCCAATCTAATGCTTTCCTATCGGAAAGTATTGAAGGGCCATTGCGCATGCGCAACAATACACCACGCTGCCCCAATCAGCATCTCTGTAGGGAAGATTCAGCACCTCCATGAAGAACATGGAGACACTGAAGCACCTGGAGTAGGAAGCACCTCTAGTGGCCGTCTGACTAACTCTCATTAGAGCTGTTATTAGGCAGTAATGTAAACACTGCATTTTCTCAGAAAAGGCATGTTAAATTGAAAAGCCTGCAGGGACTTACCATAGACACCAGAACCATTACATTAAACTTTAGTGGTTATGGTGACTATAGTATCCCTTTACAAATAGTTTTTCTGTCACTAAAAACAAAGCTTTGTTATTTTTTTTAACAGAAAAATCTGGCTCCTAGATTGAAAGTAAATTTGCATAGCCCTGCTGTAACCTTTTTATTGACTTACGGAGCTTGTTGATATTTGTATGTATGTGTATTAACCCCTTAAGACCGGAGGGCGTACTATTATGCCCTATTTTAGGTGGCTCTAAACGCCGCCGGGCGTATTAGTACGCCCTCCGGTCTTTCCTTAATTACCCGGTCGCCGGCTGTCCCAGGGAGCCCCCCCGCAGCAGATAAAAAAAATTATAAAAAAATATATAGATGTGTGTTATTTCGTTCTTACTATATTGTTTTATTAATATATATATATTTATATCAAAATACACGTAGAACGAAATAATATATATCACTATATATATACATATATATAAATACAAATATTTTTTTTTAAATTATATATATATATATATATATACACACATATATATTCACATACGTATATATTAATTCTACATATATATTTATGTAATATTTTTACATAATTGGGTATCTTAATTAATTACAATTAGCGGGACCTGCCTGACAACCCATGCCGAAAGTAAAGGGAATTTAATTTGCTAGCACTATATTTAACCCTATAACTTTCCAAGACACCATAAAACCTGTACATGGGGGGTACTGTTCTACTCGGGGGACTTCGCTGAACACAAATATTAGTGTTTCAAAACAGTAAAATGTATTACAACGATGATATCGCCAGTAAAAGTAACGTTTTTTTGCATTTTTCTCGCACAAACAGCACTTACACGGACGATATTATTGCTGCGATACTTTTTACACAACAAAAGTTGCAGCGTCAAATATAAGGTTTGTGTTTCATTTTTTTCACGTTAAAATTTGCCAGATTGGGTACGTTGCCTTTGAGACCCTATGGTAGCCCAAGAATGAAAATACCCCTATGATGGCATACCATTTGCAATAGTAGACAACCCAAAGTATTGCAAACAGGGTATGTCCAGTCTTTTTTAGAATCCACTTAGTCACAAACACTGGCCAAAATTGGCGTTTTTTGCATTTTTCACACACAAACAAATACTAACGCTAACTTTGGCCAGTGTTTGTGACCAAATGGCTACTAAAAAAGACTGGATATACCCCATTTGCAATACCTTGGGTTGTCTACTATTGCAAATGGTATGCCATTATGGGTGTAAATTTCATTCCTGGGCTACTATAAAGTCCCAAAGGCAACGTAACCAATCTGGCGAATTTCAATTTCAAATGTAACGTGCTATATTTGACCCTGTAACTTCCCAAAACGCCATAAAACCTGTACATAGGGGGTACTGTTTTACACGTGAGACTTTGCTGAATACAAATATGTGTATTTTATTGCAGTAAAAGCAAACAGTATTATGACATTGACAGTTAAAATGTCATGTAGAACACAAAAAATCTTTTCTCCCATTTTTTCATATTAAATTATGTTTCATAGCTAAATATTTGATATTAAATGAAAGCCCTGTTTCCCCTGAATAAAATGATATATAATAAGGGTGGGTGCATTTAATATGAAAGAGGTGAATTACGGTTGGACAGACATGTAGCGCAAATGCCAGGTTTTGTTTACATTTTGTTTCGTTCACAACGTGTACATTTGGCTCCGTCCTTAAGGGGTTAATGTTAGACACCACTACTTATGTAATTATTTGGATGTGACTTTATGTTGTCACACCATCTTACCAGAGTATAAATGCAAAGTCAGGTAATCAAAAACCATCATTCAAAGGTCACTCTGGAGTTCTGCTTTAGGAAGGGACTGTAAAATGTGCAGCAAAAGGATTTCTTCTTCATGCATTTTAAAAATAAAAATAAAAGTAGCTTGGTATTTGCATGAACATTTAAGGGGCATGGCTCTCTGGTGCCCCTGGGCTGTCAGCAATGGGTTAGTTAATAAATAAGGCAGCTTTTATTTGGTGGCCACATGATTTTATATAGTCTACTCCACAGTGTTGTACAGTGTGTGTGAACGCAGATGTGTATGTGTGTATTGGAGATGGCCAAAATGTTTTTATTTACTTCAGTTTATTATCTTTATATATGTATATTAATCCTCATAACAAATGATTAATAAAAAATAAAATAATTAAAAGATAGAAGCAAATGTGAATAAGATTTATCCGTGGCTCTGGAGTGTATTACATAAATATGTATGTAAATAATGTTTTTGTAATTGTGGTTAAATATACACCGATTGGCAATATGCTAGTGCAGGTATAGGAAAAAGTCCAATGTATGTGTGTTTTACAATGATTGCCATCTGCTTCTATTTTCCTTTTTTGAGAATAACTTGTATTTGCAAACCAAATCCAGGGCATTTGCATGAGCGTGTCATTGTTTGAATGTAAGAAAATGAAATGAGCTGAAAATATTCAGAATTGTCTTTTTTTTTTTTCTGTTGCAGATTTTGCGCGATCACAACTCCACTGCACTTCAGAATGGGGGTGAAGACGTTCACTCACAATTCTCCGGCACATAGCCAGGAAATGTTGGGAAAACTGAACATGTTGCGTAATGATGGACACTTTTGTGACATCACTATACGTGTCCAGGATAAGATTTTCAGAGCTCACAAGGTGGTCTTGGCAGCCTGTAGTGAGTTCTTTCGCACGAAGTTGGTGGGCCAAGCAGAGGAGAGTAGCCAGTGCATACTGGACTTGCACCATGTCACGGTGACAGGATTTATACCTCTATTGGAGTATGCATACACAGCAACATTATCCATCAACACAGAGAATATCATTGACGTCTTAGCTGCTGCAAGTTACATGCAGATGTTTAGTGTTGCAAGCACCTGTTCAGAGTTTATGAAGTCCAGTATTTTATGGAACACTCAACCAGAGAAAGTGCTCGACACAGGGCAGGAAAACACTGCCAACTGCAATAATTTTCGAGACGGTAGCCTTTCTCCGGTCTCTTCGGAATGTAGTGTTGTAGAGAGGACCATACCCATATGTCGAGAGTCCCGTCGCAAGCGGAAAAGCTACATCGTCATGTCTCCAGAGAGCCCTTTGAAATGCAGCACACAAACCAGCTCTCCACAAGTGCTAAACCCTACACCTTCTTACAGTGAAGCACGGAGTCAGCCGGTAGACTCATCACATGCCTTCCCTTGGACTTTTCCATTTGGAATTGACCGCCGGCTTCAGCCAGACAAGGTGAAGCAGATAGAGTCCAGAACATTAGAATTGCCAGGACCTTCTGAAGTTGCCCGAAGGGTAACAGACTACGTTGCCTGTGAAAGCACTAAAGCCAATTCTCCATTGGTGATGGAGGATGACGTACGAGTCAAAGTGGAAAGACTTAGTGACGAGGAGGTGCATGAAGAGGTCTCTCAGCCTGTCAGTGCATCTCAAAGTTCAATGAGTGACCAGCAGACTGTTCCTGGAAGTGAACAAGTGCAGGAGGACCTGCTGATTAGCCCTCAGTCTTCTTCCATAGGTAATGTACTCATCATTTTAGCATACATTAACTACACATCTCAGCATCTCATCACAAAACTAGCAAACATTAAGGTTTATTTGAGTATAGACGATTTAGAATCATTTTTATTTACAAACAAAACATCAGACCTATTATTTTCTCTTTCTAAGTCCTGTTGGTGTTAATTAAGAGTTGACAGATGAAAACTGCGACATCTGCTTTTAACATCAACAGAATAATGATAAAAAATAGTTTTGTCTTTCTTTACAATATCAGGAAACAATATTTACCCCGCTTAAAATGATCTTTATTGAAGTCATTGTCAGATAATATTGTCCTAGTCAAGTATCAGTTTGTTTTAATTGGGGGTGGGGGTGACAAAACTGAAACCTAAGGCCCTCAGTGTCGTGTCCCAGCCTCTCCATGCATCTCATCTCCCCCGCATGTCTCATTCCCCCAGTCCCCCATGTGTCTCAATTCCTCCCCTCAGTCCATCCACATTCCTCCCAAGCCCCTCCATGTGCTCAGTTCCCTCCCCAGCTCCCCCCATGTGTCTCAATCCCCCAGCTCCCCCCCCCCATATGTCTCATGTCCTCTCCTCCCTCCCCCATGTGTATTACTCACCAGTGTTCTTTTTAGTTTTAGTCATATTTTAGTGATCTGAATTGTTTGTTTTAGTCGACATAACTCCAAATTTGTTAGTCGACTAAATCTGATAAAAACTGTTAGTTGACGAAATTATCACTTTTCACCTGTGTACTAGGATTTGTGGAATGCAATTTGCGTTTGTGGTGCTATGGTGTGCATGCAGGAAATCTGCATCTAACAGTCAACTTTTATTTATGTCTTACGTACAAGTCAGATATTCAATTCACCTTTTAAACAGATAAATAAACAAGTGTTCCATATGAAAGAAATAATATATAACATTATTCTCACATACTCAGTATATACACATTATACATATATTTGCATAGAAATATTTGTTTTCTTAAAAAAGGAAGATAAAAGATGGTTGAACATTGAGTGGTACAATATCAAACTACTATAAAAATGTAAAACACAATTGTGACCTAATCATTGTGCCTAAAACATCAAGCCCTTCCTCATGTCAAAGCTTGATCATAGACTTCGTTAGTTCCCACGTTTTCCATGCATTTTCCAAGCCTGGTATATTTGAGTGAGGTTTTTTTTTAGTTTACTTTTTTTTTGAGCTTTTAGTAATAAAACATCCTTTTGAAAAGGTAAAGTAGAAGATTTCCAGTGTATCGGTTTCGTTGTTAAAGCTGCTATTACAGTTTGTTTTATTAAAGGAACACTATGGGCACCATAACAACTTCATTGAAATTAGGCATGTTAACTGAGGATAAATAATAAGACCGTAATAGTACAGGGTGTTTACTCATTTGTTTGACACATATTCTCAAGCTGAGAAGATGGGAGACCTCAAAAATGCCCCAAAAGCAGAGCCCTGTAAATAAATCTGCAATATATGCACTTGCTGGTGAATTCACCAGCGCAGTGTATATATATTATATATTTACCTACCAGGATGTGATTGTGTCATCCACAAAATGTGTTCACTTCAATGAAATTTGGAGACCGTGAATAGAAAACCTCTGTGTTTATTTAGTTAGTATTTTCGGAAATCCCTGTACTCCAGTGACTTCTGCTGAAACTAAGACCTAATTCTGTCCTGCAATACTGCCCTATTTTGTGATATTTTTGTATCACTGCTTCTCTGCCTGAGTGATATCATTATATTAATACTTGTAAAAAACCTTAATAAACACTGTTTAACCCCACAATTTCACTGACTGATCCTTTTCATGTGGACTAAGCTTGGCAATGAAATTCTCTGTAACTGAACAATGTCACAATGTGTTTTAATAGGCAAAATAAACAAAACCTATTTTTATTAACATTTAATGACTGAAGCAGTTTACCATTTTTATTGTGTGTTTATTTAGCAGTAATTTCCCTCTCTCAATAAATGCCACCACCCACATATTGTTTTTAATAGTGGCTTTTTATACGCTGAAATTTCCCACATATGAGATGCAGTTGTATATTTTGGTTAAAGGAACACTATAGGATTGTCCCTAAATATATACAGTCCCCCACTCTTTTTCCAATCAAATAAATAATTTGCTCACCTTTATGCAGCATCAAGTCTCCCTCGGTGCTGCTCACCACTTTGCCTTCTGTGATGTCATTGATGTTGTATCAGAGGCATGGCTTCCTCTGCCTTTAGTGGCTGTCAGGTTACCATTGCCTTTACTGTGAAGCGGCAACATTTTACCTTGGGGTGTTCAACATACACCACTGCACCTATACCACTTCACTAAGATGACTTTAGTGGTCCTTTAATAGTGAATCCAGTTCTGTAGGATTTGATCATATTAGTGATCAGGCAATAAATTATTATTTGTGTTGTGATTTATAATATACAGTGGTCATGTGAAGTAGTTCAGGATTTATTTATTTTTGGTTCACTTGTTCCTTTAATGTGACCATTAATTACGCTGTTTGATACATCCAGTGTTACAGTGCCATTGTAGGATTCTATTCTGTTGGTAGCATATACCCATTATCTGTCGCATAATGCAAATTCCTGCTTAAAGTGGAACATTCATCTACAATTGTTTAGCAGGCAAGGGCTCATATAAGATATATTTAAAGGGACATCCTAAGCACTGGCAACCTACAGCCTGCTTGGTTTTGGTGCCTGGTGTCCCATGTTGCCATTTCACTGTTACAATTCAAAGTGTTTTTGAGTGGTTTGTCACTTGCCCTGGTGCTCCAGGTGCCAGCCATCTGGTCCCTCTTCACAGATATGGCCAAAGCAAAAGGCCTTGCTTCTGCAACAGCATTACAATTTCCATCCGTCCTTGGATAGAATTAGTATTGGTATCAGATGACATTCCTCAGCCTGCAAACTGCATCCAGTTCTGGACAAATTCTGCTTTAGTGATATCTTTGAAGAAGGCTCAGACAGAAGTCGAAAATTGTTTTATTCTTGACAATTGGATAGACCACTATATCAAGCTGTAACGGTTACAGTGCGGTTACATAGAGCTGCAATAACAAATTCATCCTCAAATATATAGATGGAATTGTACACTTTTCTGAGGTTTAGATGCTGTGCACTCCCACAATGCATTGTTGTGCCAGCGTGTCATATTTACATGTTAGGGACTATCTTTTAATAAATACCGAGCTGAGGGCTGCCTAGTTTGTAAACATGCAATGCCTCCCACAACGTGTTCATTACTAATCCAGATCAAGTGCGTAAGCATGAGTACACAGCATTCACAAGCAGTGACCGCTTCGTTTTGTCTTCCTAATATCCCATTGTTAAGGAATGTTCAACAATCAAACAATATGTTTGGCATTGCAGGAAAATGCCTCATTTCACTTGTATTTTATTTATTTATGAACCTAGTTTCACAAATACAGCAGAGAAATCAAATACTTTCCACTTGGATGTGGCATATTGTTAGCAGAGTGTCATCAAGAAATATTCTTTGCTGTAATGTCTGTCCCAGAGGGTAGTAGGCTGTTAGCAGCATTGTCAAATCCTTTCTTTTTCGAAAGCTGGTAAAAGTCCAAACAAGTTTTACAGACCCCAGAACAAAATACACAGCAATTAAGAATGGAGGGATTTTCAGAAGTCAAACAAAGTATTAGATGTGGGAAAATACCACCATGTATGTTTGTTTCCTTGTTTACTTATACTATGTTATGGTGTGTCTTCAGTGTGGCCTCAATGTGGGGGGGGGCAGGGATAAATATATATATGCTTTTTATGTGTGTATGAAAAAAATATATAATTTGTATTATATTATTATGTAAGTAATTTTAAAAGTTTATCTAAAAATATGAAATCAGTTAAATGCTTATCTACAAATATTAAATTGTCCTTTTTAAACCCGGCCCTTATAATACCAGTGTTCATTTTTCCCCACTTACAATCTGCATCAGCTTTATGTCAACCAAGTAACCCTAACCAATTCTACTGTTTTGTGTTTGAGTAATTGCAGAGAATTTCACTGGCTGGGTCTGAAATGAAGAAACTATAGTTGTTTCTTACATAATGCTGTAGGTCAGTAGTAGGCAATCCTTGGCACTCCTGATGTTGTGCACTACAGCTCCCCAGGTGCTTCGCCAGCATTATGGGAGATGCCGTCCACAACATCTGGAGTGCCAGAGTTTGCCTACCTCTACTGTAAGCATTTACAGGGACTGTATCGTGGCATCTGTGAGTTACTTTTAGCGCTTTAGCCATGATTCTAAGAAATGGAAATATAGACAAGTCTTTTTGATTTCTTGCAATGTCAAAGTCCAGGTAATAATAAAAAAAAGTTCCAACAGCATATATGTCCCATTGTTTGGAAGGAGCCTGGTTTTTGTCAGTGTCCACACTTGTCAGGTCATTTTCACTACTATCATTTGATTTCAGATTGTGACATGTGAATGCTTTCAGACGTACAAGACAGGGTTTGATTAATGCAGAGTCTATTTAGGGCAGAATATATTGTATGTATTAAACATTGTCTCTGAAAGGTTAGCGAGCCTCATTGTTAGTTGAATCAGGAGATTACATCGCCAATGAGTTAGTGAGATGTACTTTAAATGTACACAAGGTACATTTTAAAAGGTTTAGAGCAGGTCACCAGCTCATCCTGGCATAAGATATCACATGGAGATGGCAGAATATATTGTGTTTCCAAAACAAGTTGTTTCTCTGCAAGTTATATTAAGTGAGTGTAAAACATTAACAAGGAAAAAATGTCAAATATTGCCTGCCATAGGTGAAGGAGTACTTGTAATGTGACTTTGTTTTCTCTTCCTGTCGCAGGCTCCATCGATGAGGGCGTTGGTGAAGGAATGCCAACACTTCAGGGTGCCACAAGCGCCAATGTCCACGCTGATGATGATGATCGGTATGGCTTTACAAGGAGCACATTTTGTACATCTTGCTTTTTTTGAATCTTATTTTTACAATGTTCAGAACTTACTAAATAAAGAATATTCACCTTCCTCTGCCGGTGATGAGCTATTGGCCAACTTGTGATGGCTATTTGGAGGGGAAAAGTTAAAGAGAAATTCAAGCTTTGTTTATTTTTTTACTTCTATAATAATAATTAATTTTTTTATTTATTTAATTTAATATCTCTATTACATGTGTTTTATTTAAACCCCTGTGGTGTTACTTTTATTTTCCTTGCTTTACGTTGCAATAAGCTCATTTGTTACTGTCGTAAAAGCCGCCCCCTGTTAGTTTAGTTCCGCCTTTCTATAAGTAAATGGTGATGCTCATAGATTACATAACAACACAAAATAATTTATTTAATCTTTGTTTTAGTTTAGTTTTGTATTCTATTTCATATGTTTAAATTATTACAGCATATGTGTAAAATATTTTTGTTCCTCAATTGTTATATGCCATAATTCTTGAGCCTGAAAAAAAGATGATATGTGTTGTGCGATGTTGCAAACGTCTGCAAGTAAAATGTGTAATGCTAACTGACTGTCCAAAAATAAAGAAGTAAAAAAAAAAAAAAGTAGCCTGCAAATACTAAGATGAGGTTCACTTTCACTGCCTGAAACAACCTATCCATCTTCGCCCCTCTGCCGAAACACAGTGTGTGGGTTATTTACAATTCCACATTATAACCACACCAAAATTCACTTATTTTCTTGAATCAAACGATTAACTGCACTGAGTAGTTTAAATTGGCCATTCTGATTCGAGTCCTGGGTTTCCTTGAGATCGGATCACCAACATTGCTCTTCATTACACGGGTACGGGATATGGATGGGAGACTTTGTGAGACCGTGTTCTACACTTTTAAAGAGAGGAGATTTTGTCTGATGCAAAGGAAAGCGTTCAGTAAGAACTATAAAATGTGTAATTCACTTCCTACAGAGGCTGTATTGTAAAATTCAGTAAATATCTTTAAAATATATATAAATAAATATATATATATATATATATATATATATATATATATATATATATATATATATATATATATATATGGCTAATATTCAGTGTTTAAATAACTTGCCACTTTTTTGTGCAAAACTGGAAATCTCTCCAAATTGTGTACTTCCTTTGATTCAGAAACTTGATCAGAGTCCAGCAACAAAGAAAAACTATGAAATTGGACCATGGTACTATTAAAGGGGCACTATAGTCACCAGAACAACTTCAGCTTATTGTATTTGTTCTGGTGAGTAGAATCATTCTCTTCATGCATTTTGCTGTAAACACTGCCTTTACATTACAGCCTGGTGATAACTACACAGGCCACTCCTCAGATGGTAACAAGAGGTGCTTCCTGGTGCAGTGCTGCATGGAGACACTACATTTTCCTTATAGAGATACATTGATTCAATGAATCTCTATGAGGAAATGCTGATTGCCAGGGCTGTGTTTTACTTGTGCTGGATCTGGCCCTGATCTGCCTCCTTGACAGCCTCAGCCAATCCTATGGGGAAGCAGTGTGATTGGCTCAAGCCACCACTTCTGATGATGTCAGCAGACAGCAGGCAGGTCAGCAGCGGAAGACTTGAATGCAAGTAAGATTTTACTATATTTAGGGTGGCAAGAGGGGCCAAAGGGGGCTAGATGGTGGTTTTAACACTATAGGGTCAGAAATACATGTTTGTGTTTCTGACCCTATAGTGCTCCTTTAAACAGAGATTCTAAGTTTATACAGAAAGCTGTGTTTTATGTTTAGTTTACCAGACAATAGTCAAAAGGTGGGCTTTCTATTTAATGGCAAGATGACAACACATCTGTTGTTTAGTTCACAAAAACTCAATCATCCTCATTTATATTGAAGAATCATTACCAGCCTGTAGAGGAACGTATTTCTCTTCCAGATGTCACTGGTCACTTTTTAATGGCTCGAAATATGCTAAAAATGGCAGCAAATAAAGTTTCAATGGGTCATATAATTCCTAAAGTCAGGGAGGGGGTAAGAGTGAACGGATTCTACAACTTTCCTGTTAGCATTACGTTAGCCGTACAGAGATTGACGGAAATTGCTATAGCACTTTTAAAACGCCTTTATTTTAGATATATATACTGTGTAGGCTTTGTACTCAAATGCAAACATTCTTTTTACATTCTGTGAACTGTTCAACTACTAATACCTTCAGACTCCTTACAAATATCTATAAGGAAGGTATTTAACCAGTTTTATTCATCTTTTTTTTTTTTTTTTTTTTTGTCACACCTACTGTATGTGAGAAACATTTAATTTTTACTTTCATATTAACATTTCAGGATATGCAAAATATTGCAAGATAAAGGACACTGGCTAAGACTTTTCATTTCTTAAACATTTTTAAAGGCCTGAACAACTGACAGATTAACTTTAAGGCTTAACACATTACTCTAGGTAAAGCATATATCATGATCATTAATATATAATAATGAGATACTAAAGGGGCACTATAGTCACTAGGACAACTACAACTTAATGTAGTTGTTCTGGTAAGTTTAGTCAGTCCCTGTAGTCATTTACATGTAAACTCGGCTTTTTCAGAGAAAAGGCAATGTTTACATTACTGCTAAGGGACACCGCCAGTGTCATTCACTCAGATGACCACTAGAGATGCTTCCTGGGTTGTTTAGCACTGATGTTCAGTGTCTCTTTGCTCTGCACGGAGGCGCTGAGCTTTCCTCATAGAGATGCATTGATTCAATGTATCTCTATGAGGAGATGCTGATTGATTGCATAGCGCAGCGTTTGGCTCCCCCATAGCCTCCCTGGCTGAGATCATAATTAAAGCATTGGATTGGCTGAGATTGTCAATTCTGATGATCTCAGTCAAGGAAATGGTGGACTTAGCCAGCACTGGGAAAAAAAGGCAAATTTTACAGCTTTTTAAAGTGGGCGATGGGAGGGCCGACCACCTAAATAGTGTTTTTTACAAACATCTATTCCTGACCCTATAGTGTTTCTTTAAGTTAAAATATGTCTCCTATCCAGCGTTAAGAACACAGACGTCATGCTGTCTTCATGTCCACCCAACTCATCACCCCCTCACATGCAGCTCTTTTACTTTATTGTTGTCTGCATTCTCTATCATATGAAGAGATTAAGTCAATACTTATTTAGAAAGATTTTATGTGTAAAATTGTATTGCGTTGACCTTTATTCTCCTTATATTCTCTTCCTCTATAGACTGGAAAATGTCCAGTATCCGTACCAGCTATATTTGGCTCCCTCAACAAGCAGCACAGAACGACCAAGTCCAAATGGGCCTGATCGACCTTTCCAGTGCCCTACGTGTGGTGTACGTTTTACAAGGATCCAGAACTTGAAGCAGCATATGCTCATTCATTCTGGTATGTCCCCAACATTAGCAACCAGCATGTGCCAAATAGGAGAATAGGCCTCTCCTACTTCATTTCTATATTCCAAATTGCAACTATGTGTGCTGTCTGTTTTGCTAGTATTGCTAGTTTGCTCTCTCTGAACCTTAATTTTTAGTCCCCTTCTATTGAGCTCTCTGTTGGGAGAATCTCTGTTAAAAAAAAGAGTATTTTGTAGTTTATTTACCAAGTAAACTATTGATGTGTCTTCATTCTTTTTATAATAATAGCAAGCAGGTATACATATAAAACATACTGATTTCATTTTAATACAGTGTGGACTTGTAGCTTGATTGTGAATTTGCCAGGATTGAGTCTGTGTGAGATTCATTGGAGACTCTTCTCGTAAACACAACTTGATGGTAACTGCGAAAGAAATATCAGAAAGTGGAGAAATTCAATTTAAAATGTTGCTATGCTAAAAAAAAAATAACAGTAACCGTAGATACTTTTTTTTAAATAAAAAAATACATTGAAGCACAATATGAAGGACACTCTTCAGCATCCTCCGCTTCTGAATTTTTTAAGGTTTACACTTGCCTGTATGCATGTCAGAATGTCCTACAGGGTTTTTATTTTCTTTATAATTTATCATGCATTTCTTCGTATTATTAATGTGTCAATTACAGGCATTTAACTTTGTGATGAATTTAAGGGACACTATAATACCGATAAAGTATTTGTTTTGCATATAGATGTTTAGTAGTATTGTGTATTAAATACGTCTTTTTTGTTTGAGAATGTGTTAAGCAAGCTTTCTACTTTCTTAAGTCAACTATAGAATAAGGTCAAACTGTAGTTTTTATCATGGATTTTACATCATGCATTGAGTTACAAAGGATTTTTTATACAACAATGCTTTCTATTCAAGATTCCCAACAAGGGCATTCCATTGTACAGCGCTATGGAATTTGCTGGCGCTATATAAATAATAAAATAATAATAATCTGTCAGTGCCAACAAAATGGAAACCTATTGTCGTATAAAGTCCCAGATGTGGGATTATTTGATCTTTCTCTCAAGTGCACAATAGTCCCCTAGAAACCAAGGTTAAGAATCCAAAGTTCATTTTGTTTCCCCTTCATGAATTATGAATTATTGGTGGTTGTGTGGGGGTAGCATTTTGCTTTACATCCATTGTAGAGGTTGAGATATATGTTCATTCCACTCTCCAATGCGAAAAATCTAAATGTTTTGTATAATTTTGTTTTGTGTACTTTTATTTAGTTTCCCTTCCTTGTGTCTCTCTTCTTTCCATAGGAATTAAACCATTTCAGTGCGACCGCTGTGGGAAAAAATTCACTCGGGCTTACTCGCTAAAGATGCATCGTCTGAAACACGAAGGTAAACGATGTTTCCGATGCCAGATATGTAGCGCCACATTCACTTCCTTCGGGGAATACAAACACCACATGCGGGTTTCCCGGCACATTATCCGCAAGCCTCGGATTTACGAGTGCAAAACATGCGGCGCCATGTTCACCAACTCTGGAAATTTAATCGTGCACCTGAGGAGCCTGAACCACGAAGCGTCAGAGCTAGCAAACTACTTCCAGAGCAGGTGAGGTGCCCAGCAAGATGGCGGCAGCGAATCTGAGCCCGCTGCTGGGAACAGCTATACTTAGATTATAAATTTAATAAAACGATACATACTATTTTCACATCCTTCAAGTTAATAGGTCTCTTTACATTTCTAGTAAAAAAAAAACCAAATCACAATAAACCCTGTCAGTCTCACACAATATTCATAATTTAGCTGTTAGGCATCAATGGGAGCAAGGCAAACAAAGTGTGTGCAGGTGGCAGACTAAATTCAAATAGAAAACAACACTACATGTCCAATAATGTACTGCGTTAAAAAGCATTATTTTAGTAACACATGTTTAAAAAATAACTTTGGTTAGATTAATAGTAAAGATGTCAGAAATATTATTTATCTGTTTATTTCTGATTAAGTAAATTGCTTTCACAATGCAATATACCAACAACATTGCTGATAGTAAGGAGTACATTGGGGTTTTATCTTACAAACACTGCTGGAGCTATCAGTCAGAACATTCTTTTGGATTCCTTGTTTATTGCTCAGAATTTCCCTGTATGAATAGTCCCCAAGTTTTGTTGCTATAGTTCCGTCAGGTAGCCATGCACATGTGAATTTCCTTGGGGTTCTTTAAAATGTCACATGTTTACTGGGAGTTTAGCCATGGGAGGGTGGGACTCGCTCATATAACTAGCAAATGTATCTTAAAGAGATACTCTGCACTATAACTACTACAATTTACTATAGTGGTTATAATGCAAGGAGCTAGTCGGCAGGAGCTCATCCAACGCCTGACTATTCTACTAAAGCTGTCCAGACTTAAGTGGCAATGGTAAACTGCAGGTGTTGGGGTAACCAGCCCTTGGCCAGCTGCCTCTCTCTGCCATCCAAAGCTTTAAAGGAAAACTGTCAAATCTTTAATTCTCATATTTTTAAAGTGTATTACATTTAATGAATTATACTGTTTTTTTGATTGGGGGGGTTCACATTTTATTTGGCTAAGCAGCCATGTTGGGTCAGACTCTACTGTTATCTAACAAACTGTTGCTCAACCTAACTCGATAACTGCAGTTAGAGGAGAATGGTGTGCATTATCGTTCTTTTGCAAACCTGTAAACATGACTCACAGACTGATTTTGTGAACTTGGAACAGCAGTTGTAATATTGATTCAAAAGCTTCAAAGTTTATTTTAGATCCAATAATCGTAACTCATTTCCTGCCTGAACAGTCCACCGCAGAGCCTCACACACCACTTGGGATTATGAAACAGGTTTACTCCAATTATTTTAGAAGCTTTTTTTATTGTTTTATTGTAGAATAGCTGAACAAATGTCTGCAACTGTTTTGTGCCCAGAAGGGAATGCGCTGGACACAGAGGGCTGGCTCTTGCCGGGCATTCTTTATTGGTTAGTTCATCATGACAGAATGACATACGCACCCTGAACATTCCTTTCGCATTCCCAGCACTTAGAAGACATACTGTCCTCGCAGTCATTTTACAAGTAAAATATAATTTTGTTCTGGGGTTTGTCACATTTTCAAGTTTAATGTAACTTGGTTGGCCACATTATTTACTGGCAAACCAAATTACATTTTTGACCTTGTTTTTCCCTCTTGTGTTTTAACGTTGTGTAAATAAACTCACTATAAAGGGCTTTGGCAGGCAATCTCCAGCTAAATGCGTTTTTTGATTTAACTAGTTCATCACTGGAGAGGAGGGCACAATTAATAGTGTATGGTTGCTTTGCTTATCTGCTAAGCTGTTTTGTGAAATAACGTACAGCCAGTAACAATGAGTATACATTTATTATTATTACTATTCATTTACATGTCCAATGTGCAGCATATGAGTTCTTTAATGCCTTCAATATTTAATGTCACCCCGCCACCCCTAAACCCAATCCAAATGCTCATTTGAGGGTGTAAGCATTTGGAACGGTCTTCTGGCCATTTGTTGATTTTCTTGCTAGCAAATAATATATACATCATATGTGTGTCCCCTGGCACTATAGATGATCTCACTGTGTTTAAGGGTCACATGGCTACCTGGTCACATCTCAATTCCTTAAGCTTATATCATTAAATCAGTTTACCTCTCTGAATAGCAAACCGTGTGTTGTTTGAATTGTGAGAAACACTGACGATGTAGTGCTGTGAGAAGTGCGGTTTTATGTGAGCAAAAGAGTTGGTAACTGTAATAGCACTGTCTTCCTCATTTGACATTGTGAAGTCCAAGGTAGGAGTTTTGTTATATTTTGCATAACAATGTGTCACTGAACTAATGTTAAACTTAAACAATGGGTCACCACACTAATGTTAAACTTAAACAATGGGTCACCACACTAATGCTTCGTACACAATCTAGAGCCACTGATTTAGATACCTATGATAATGAAGGGTACCAATCAGCAATTTAAATATTAATTCAAATGATTTCAGGTAATTGTCCTATTTTAGGAATTACAGATTTTAGACCAAAATTTGGTGGAAATGTTTTCAGTTTGATTGTTTTGACCGAAAATTTTAAACACTTTCTTAAATTCCAAACTATTCTCAGTTTTTTTGTTTTGTTTTTTAAATATTCTAATACTTTGTTTTATAGACATTTCTTTCCCTTTAAATTATGATCACCAGCTACTTTGTAGCCCTATATATTAATTTAGTTTCACAGGTTGAAAATAGACAGAATTAACCGTCCACACATCTCGTTCCCAATATTATCACAAATTGAAGTGATTTCCAATTGTGCTCCAAAACAATCGAGAACATTCCGAACTCCAAAAAGGTCTGATGAATGAGCCGTCGCAACTTTGCATTAACTACAACAAAGTCACTGAAGGATGTTAATGACCAAATATTTTATAAATGTGTAATTAGATCAGAGGTTAATTCAGTTTTGTTTTTTCACTTAGGTAACTGGCAGTTTTGTATTGTTACAGTCCCATAAATGTGATCCGCCGCCTCTTTTTTGTTTTTTTTGTGGTCATTGTAAATCAATACAGTTCATGGGTATCTTAATCTGTAAAACACAAAACTCAATGTCAGGTTAGAGATGCTCATACAGGGGACGTTATTATAGCTACTCTGGTAAGTGACTTAATATCTGACAACTTTGCAGTGACTCCCTTTATAAATATCACATTTTATAAACAGATCCAACCACCGACCCGTAACTCACTGAGAACATCCCTGCTGTTATAAAAAGCTCTACGCACCTAGTTGTGAAAATACAAACTCTCACTATGGGGACCAAATGACAACTCCCAGTTAAGTGAATATGCCACAGAAATAATGCGGCTGATTTTTGTTTACTGACCATCTCCTCCCTCATTCATATTTGAAACAATATCTCCTCCTTCCCCAGGCCACTTTTCTTAATTTATCATAGCTTGCCTATAAGTCAGCCAAGTCCAAGCTGACATCATCCATGAACCCCTTTTTCAAGCAGCGGGTAATTCAGCTGTGAGTTTACCACAGGTTTATAGTTGTCCATTGTTCCGATGAAATCCAAGAGATTTCTGTTTGTGTCTAACATCCTTCAAAGAGGTGATGTATTAAACAGTGATCATTGCAGTTACCTTCTGAGGTTTTATAGAGAGGAATTATTTATTTGAGATCGTATAACAGCAAGGTTGTGTGTTCTTCAAACAGACTCTGGTGATTTATTTCTGTGTTAGAGTGTTTATCGTATTTAGAGTAAAAGAAACATAGATTTACAGATTTTATTTTGATACTGCTTTCATTATTTCCAAGTCTGTTAGGTTCCATAGACCATAAGTATGTGTCAGATTCCATATATAAAGTAATGGGATGAAACTGTGCACTTGGCTACGACAGATGGGCAGAATGAGAAGCACTAATGCCCACTGTTGGCACGACCTAGACACACTAAAGATCATTACCACTGCAGCTTACTGTATTATTACAGCTCATTGTTTGAGGCTGCAGGAGCCTCCTTAGATGTTTAATGCTTTAACCCCTTAAGGACATGTGACATGTCATGATTCCCTTTTATTCCAGAAGTTTTGTCCTTAAGGGGTTAATTTATTTTAACATGTAACAAGAGTCTGTGCTGCCATGCTAAACGGCCACATTGCCCCCTCCCCACTCTCTCAAAATCCCATGTGAATCTGCAATAAACGGTCAGTGGGCTGATATGACTGCACCAAGAGTACATTACTGGCACAGAAACAGGGAAAAATACATTTAATGGCTATAGACTGTGGAGACCATGTGATGTGGAAGACGGTGCACTATTATAAAATCTGGGACCTCTTCTATCATGAAGAGCAAAATCAGCCTGATGTAGAAATGAAGAGGACTGATAAGGTGGGAGAGATGGTAGCCGACATGGCCTGTAAGAAATGGTTAGTGACGGAGTATGAGTGGTATTCGATTGATACAGAACAGCTACAGACTGGAAGATTGTGAGAAGAGAGGATTAAGAGGGATCTGGTATAGGAATGGGAGATAGATGGAGAGGGTGTAATTATAGAGGGAGGCTCATATAGAGAGGGTGTAATTATAGAGGGAGGCTCATATAGAGAGGGTGTAATTATAGAGGGGAGCTCATATAGAGAGGGTGTAATTATAGAGGGGCGCTCATATAGAGAGGGTGTAATTATAGAGGGATGATCATATAGAGAGGGTGTAATTATAAAGGGATGCTCATATAGAGAGGGCGTAATTATAGAGGGGCTTTCATATAGAGAGGGTGTAATTATAGAGGGATGATCATATAGAGAGGGTGTAATTATAGAGGGAGGCTCATATAGAGAGGGTGTAATTATAGAGGGGCTTTCATATAGAGAGGGTGTAATTATAGAGGGATGATCATATAGAGAGGGTGTAATTATAGAGGGAGGCTCATATAGAGAGGGTGTAATTATAGAGGGGCTCATATAGAGAGGGTGTAATTATAGAGGCTCATATAGAGAGGGTGTAATTATAGAGGGAGGCTCATATAGAGAGGGTGTAATTATAGAGGGATGCTCATATAGAGAGGGTGTAATTATAGAGGGATGCTCATATAGAGAGGGTGTAATTATAGAGGGAGGCTCATATAGAGAGGGTGTAATTATAGAGGGAGGCTCATATAGAGAGGGTGTAATTATAGAGGGATGCTCATATAGAGAGGGTGTAATTATAGAGGGATGCTCATATAGAGAGGGTGTAATTATAGAGGGAGGCTCATATAGAGAGGGTGTAATTATAGAGGGAGGCTCATATAGAGAGGGTGTAATTATAGAGGGATGCTCATATAGAGAGGGTGTAATTATAGAGGGATGCTCATATAGAGAGGGTGTAATTATAGAGGGAGGCTCATATAGAGAGGGTGTAATTATAGAGGGAGGCTCATATAGAGAGGGTGTAATTATAGAGGGATGCTCATATAGAGAGGGTGTAATTATATGGAGAGGTCAATGAGAGCTTTATAATCTGGATGAGGGCAGGAAAGAGAAGATATAAAACAGGACAAGTGAAACCTTTATGAGAGCTGGCAACAAACTAACGGAAAGGAAAAAAAACGAACTGAGCTGTAGAGAAAGTGACAGGTAAAAGGTCTGAGCACTTTTAGTTCCGATTTTTTATTTTGACAGAAGATTTAACACTAGAACCTGGGCTTTTGGTCAGGAATGCTGAAACCTGCTTGAAGGACTGACCTCGAATTTGTGCATCTACCAGCAAGCTGTGTCTCGAGGAACAGTACCATTTAGAAATTAATTTTACTATATTGTCCCAAACACTACCTCTAAAATATTGTTCTTTGTTGTAATAAGATCTGTGATCTAATTTTACTTTGCTCTTGTCAGTAACGTGCAACCAGCCATGAAAGTCATTTGCTGGTTTATGTTAATTTCTTTCATAGTGATAACATCTTTGGGGGATCGTTGTTCCAAGATTCGATTTATATTTCCAGTTGGCTAGTTTCTTGGTTACAGCATGTGGTTTATTTGCACTTCCATATTGAAATAGACCACTTCGGATGTGTATGGCTAATGTAAAGCATTCTGCTCAACAATACAGTGGTTAAAGGACATTTATGTCAGTATATTCGCTGTTATTAAAAGGATCTAGGGACATCATTTAAAGGGTGCTAGTGGATTAGGAGTAAATGGTTTACAGCAATTCTTTCACATTATTTTAGTTGTTTCCCACTAGTTGTTACAAACACATGCCCTAGGCAATAGCCTAAAATAAATCATTTCACATAGCATCGCTACTTCCCCAGGGGACTGAACACCTCTTTCACAATGGGTAAATGTATTTAGTTTTTAAAGGGAAACTATAGTCACCTGAACAACTTTAGCTTAATGAAGCAGTTTTGGTGTATAGAACATACCCCTGCTGCCTCACTGCTCAATCCTCTTGCCATTTAGGAGTTAAATCCCTTTGTTTATGAACCCTAGTCACACCTCCTGCATGTGACTTGCACAGCCTTCCATAAACACTTCCTGTAAAGAGAGCCCTATTTAGGCTTTCTTTATTGCAAGTTCTGTTTAATTAAGATTTTCTTATCCCCCTGCTATGTTAATAGCTTGCTAGACCCTGCAAGAGCCTCCTGTATGTGGTTAAAGTTCAATTTAGAGATTGAGATACAATTATTTAAGGTAAATTACATCTGTTTGAAAGTGAAACCATTTTTTTTTTCATGCAGGCTCTGTCAATCATAGCCAGGGGAGGTGTGGCTAGGGCTGTATAAACAGAAACAAAGTGATTTAACTCCTAAATGACAGTGAATTGAGCAGTGAAATTGCAGGGGAATGATCTATAGACTAAAACTGCTTTATTTAGCTAAAGTAATTTAGGTGACTATAGTGTTCCTTTAATATCCTTATTTAATTGGTTTATTTGCCCGTGCCATGAACATAATTTGTGGTCACATTTTATATTATTGCAGTACTTTTTAAAAGGTGTCAGATTGAACAGCTATGAGCTTCAGGGGTGGTATATTTTTTTAAAGGGTGCTGTAAAAGTGCTCATTTTAATATGGTTGCAGTGTTTTATTGTAATCTTTAAATTATCTATTATTTTCCTATTATTCTTATTTTGCTCTCATTGTAGGCAAAAGGTCTTCTATTTCCATTTGTAAAACCCATTTACAGTTTGGGTTCTACAACATTGCAAATGTTATCAGTCAATACAACCACATATTTCTCAAGTGTCATTTTAAAGTGCATGAAATGGATCCATTACAGCCATCTAGCTTTTATTATGTTATTATTTATATAGCGCCAACAAATTCCACTGCGCTTTACAATGGGTGGACGAACAGACATGTAGTAGTAACCAGACACGTTTGACACACAATAACAGAGGGATTGAGTGCCCTGCTCAATGAGCTTACATACTAGAGGGCAAAAGGTAAGGATAGTATTAGACTAATGACAGTTGCTTATCAATCATTGCAGAACTACTACAACTCCAGTGATGCTCAGCCAGGCACAGACACAGTCCTTTTCTTTAAAGGTGATTGCCAAGCATGATCATACCTGTTGTTCCACCAGATCTAGATAGCTGCCTGGTGTTTGTCATTCAGTAAGACCCTGCTCTCCTGGAGTCTTTACTGAACCCAGCAGGGGCCCAGCAGCTGAGAACTTGTCAATATCAATGTTAGGTCTACTCTAGCAGTAAGGTTTGGCTGAAAATTAGGATTTGTTTGAAATTAAATACAACAAAGCACCTTCTCTTATTTGTTCACTAGTCACTATATTGTTATTAGCAGAGTTCTGTCAAGTTCATTAAATTGTTAGTAGCTATCTCTTCTAGACTTTTATAAGTTATTTCCTGTAAATAACTGTAAGAGGTAGGCTATGTCCAGTAGACCTTTCTCAAGCAGAGCTATATCTGTCCTTTATCCTGCCTAATTTGGACAATCTGAAATCAAGGCATATAGTAAGATTTCCAAGTGTTCACAGGGGCCAACAAACCTATTTCTATCACCTTCCGGTGCATGCTACTTATCGCATTGGCCTAACTGGCAAAGCATTATGGGAGCTGTAGTTTACAAGAACTGTGGATGTACCTTTTGGTTATCTCTGAACTTAACAGGAAAGGAAATGTGCAATGTATTGGACTCAAAAAGCAGACAAGTTACTTGGAGACGATAAAAAACACTCCAAATTCAACAATACATATGCACTTTAATTCTTCCATTTGGATGACTCCTGGGGTTGTATGTGATGTAACAGCCAAATGATCCTGTCTCCATCTAATTCTGTGTTCAAAGGACCTTGAAATTGATGTAAAGTTAGCTTTTCACTTGTTCAATGCCATTGGGGCAGCAGTTTTAAATAACTGTCACAGGAACGTCATCATTCTTGTTCTGGGTTAATGTCTCCTTGTTTGTTGGCAGCTGAGGCTCCACCTTAGGACTAGCAGGTTGGGAGTGTTTTCAAGATATGGATATCCTTCTGTTGGTTTGCCTCCACGTGCCATTGGACACATTGCTGCCGAGGGAGACATTACTAAAACAATACTCACTAATTAAAACCAAAAACAGCAAAAACACTCGATCCAGGCAGTCTAGATAAATACAGCTACTTGTACAAAATTCTTAATGGCAGGTCCACATTAACCCCTTCTGTCACAGTCGCAGACTCACAGTTTTTTTCAAATTAGATTGATTTTGATGCCTTTGCTGACAGTGAAGGCCACTTTCTGCCACAGAGGGAGTTAAAAGTTCTGTAACATGGCGGCTGACGTGTTTTCTCTCTCCCTTTGCAGCGATTTCCTAGTGCCGGATTACCTGAGCCAGGAGCAGGAAGAGGCCCTTGGGCAGTATGAGCTGGCAGAACATAGCTTTGAAAGCAACTCCTCTGTGCAAATGCCTGTCATTTCCCAAGTTTCCTCCACGCAGAACTGCGAGAGCACTTTTCCCCTGGGATCGCTGGGTGGACTGGCCGAGAAAGAGGTGGACGAGGAGGAAATGGCAGAGCCCTCAAAATCCAGCTCCATGGAAGAAACCGACAGAGATGACACCCCAAAAACGGAGGTGGCTTCCATTGCTGTGGAATAGCTGATACCTGCCCTGCATCCCCAGACTTCAACCCCTGCGTAATCTTTGGTTTTGTTTTCTTTCTTTGGAAAGTGCCTGTGTTTTGGTCAATTTATAGTTTACTTTATATTTTTATGAGGAAACAATCTAAGCAACTGAGGACATTGGCAGAATGCAAACCATGTTTTCATCTCACTAATGCTAATATTCCTGGGATACGTCACCGCACATCAGTTGGTTTTCTGGGAACACTGAGTACATCCCAGAGGTGGGGTTCACAAGCCAATGGCCGAGCTCCTGGCTATACCCAATGGATCCTTTGGCTGTTACCGTATTACAGAGGAGCAAGTTCGTGTTATGTTTTTACCAGTTTGTAATGAGTTAATGCTCTTCATGTGAAAATATGCACATGGCTCACACAAAGCCTTGGATTGGAAGTAATGTGAATGTGTTGCTGTGTGCAGATGTGTGTGGGGTTTATACCAATGTGGGTAAATACCCTGCAGGCCTTTTCAGCAGAAACACCATTAGCATTATGGTTTAGAGAACAGCAAGCGTTCTGTAAAGGAAGCTGGAATAGTTAAACTGTCTCCGAATGACTCTTCATCGAGGCATTAAAGGGGATCTGTCCCATTTCTAGATTTTTGTTTTCCAGAGAATTCAGCATTATTCATTTATGTAACAAGCATATGTATGTAAAAAGGAATACTTCTGGCTGAACCAGGATAATTCTGTTCCAGGTGTTCACACTACTTACTTTTCCCATGATTTTTTGTTTGTGAAACTCTAAAAGAGGAGACCAGTCTGTTGGAAATCATGTGAAACTTAAGTCTATTTGCATTAAATTCCCTGCCTTGCCTTTCCAGAAGGCTGCTGTAGCTTTAAAGTAAAAATACTTTTACCGATATACAAAAATAACAAAATCATTTGTTTATCAACAAGAGTGACACTTTTTATATATATAAAAAAAAACACATCGGTTATGGGACAAATCCTTTTTAATACTTCTGGGTTTTATTATTTGATTTATAATTTTTTTGCTTTCTTTCCCTTTTTATTTACTATTTTAGTTCCACAGGGGTGAGCACTGCGCAGTCCATCTCTCTGATGCTCTGAGGGATAATGCTAAATGGCAGCCTACACTGAAGCATGGCATTTTATGGTGCGCTGGTTAACCCATTGAATGCCAAGGGCTGTGTAAAGTGTTTTGCTGCTCACCCCTTTGGTACTCAAAGAGTGGAGTGTTGTGATTTTTAATCTAAACGATTACATTATCTTTCTTTTTTCAGCGTTTTAAGCAGCAGTTGTTAGAGGTTAAATTATAATACTATTATAATGCCTCAGATTCCCTAAGGAACTCTTTGACCAAAATATTTCACCAGCAAAAGAGAAATCTATCTTATGTGTCCTTCTTAATGAATAGATTTCTGATTTAATATATTGTAGTGCATTTAGCCCCACTGATATATCCCAAGCATTTGTAAACTTGACTGATAAATGCTGCAACAAAGATGTTTGTAGCACATTGATGTATTTTAGATATTACTTTTACAAATTGTCAACACAAGAGCACAAGATCCTCATCATCAGAATGGACGAGTGATACATAGGAAATTCTGTGTGTCGATTAATCTGCATTCACTATTAACCATGACTAGAGCATGGGCAACTCCTGTCATCCTTATACAGCCTTTAGAGAAATGCTGGTAAACCCCACTCCTGATGCTGCATGCAGAGGGGTGATATTGGTTCCCTTAACCTTTCAATTTGCACAGGGTCAAAGTTTTTAATTACAGTTTATGATTAGGGCTTTAGAAACAATAATGGTTATATGCAAACTGGTCCCTCTCTTAAAGGGACACTCCACTGCCCAAACGCAAAATAAATAAAATAACTGGTTAGTAGATATACCAATGAAAACATTTTCATTGAGGTATATCTAAAAACAGTTTGCAAACACTACAGATCTGTTTCATGCTGCCTTTATAATCCCTACCCTTCATCCCCACCCAGACTTTCTGTGGCTGTCCAATCACAGGCTTCCCAATGCAGCTCAATGAGAAGTCTTTGCAAGGCAGGTGCTCTGGGCAATTGCTGCCTCTTGAATTTATTTTCACCGAGCTAAAAAAACAAGAAGTAAAGGGGAGTTACAAGGTTCATTTATAAAACTGACATTTACCATTAAAATCTGTGCTTTTCGGAAAATGAAATTAGGACACGCTTTTCACACATCAAACATTTCAGCAAGCTAAAGCACTTCAAGTGTTTGGAGGGTCCCTTGAAAGGGACACTCCAGATCCCCAAAGCACTTCAGCTTGTTGAAATGCTTGATGTGTGAAGAGTGTGTCTTATTTTTATTTTAGAAAAAGCACAGGTTTCAAAATATGCTCATTTATGAGTGGCTGTCAATCATACAACCGATTCTGTTATTTCCTGCTTGCTTAAGCCCAGAGCACCTGCCTTGCAAAGACTTCTCATCCAGTTGCATTTAAAAGTCTGTGATTGGACACCCACAGAAAGTCTGGATGGGATAATAATGGGAGGGTTTGCAAAAGCTGCATGCGAGATCTTCAGCTTTTACAAACTGTTTATAGATCTAGCCCAATAAAAAAAAATACAAAATGAAATGCTTGCTTGATATCGTTGGGGTATATCTACTAAAAAGTGATTTTTCTTTATTATTGTATTTAGAGTGTCCCTTTAAGGAAATATGCCCTTTTTGCAGCTGAATGTTGTCAGCTTGTAGTGTTGGTGGGAGGAAGGGGGGTATCTTTAATTAGTTTTTAATCCCATAGTTTGTTTTGATATTTTTCCCAAAACTACAGTAATTTTTCCAAAACAAAATTACTTAAGAATCTCTGATTTTGCCTTTTAAGGAGGCAGATGTAATATCTGAGTTAAATCATATCTAAATATATAAAACAAAGCCTTATGTAAAAATATAGCTATTTTTATTTGTTGAATTCAAATAATGTGTTAATCACAAAGAGTGACAGATCAAATCTGAAAATTACCAAGTTTAAGTTGGTGATCACTGTGTGTTTAAAATGAAAAGCTATCACAAGTGGTTTGGTTATAAGCCATTATAAATAAAGAATATTGCCATATGGTTACAGCACTTAGTAAATCTAACAGTATAGAGAGAATATCACTGCAAACGAACAACATACAATAGCACACACATCTGCAAAACAAACTAGCTCAGTATCCAATAAACACACCATACATGTGTATATATAGCATTTCCAAACAAATCATTGCTTCACATCAAGTGCCTGCAGTGATTGTTGTCAGACAAAATCTCGTTAATCTTTCCAACTCTGTAGGTTTAGCAATTATGGCGAATATTATTAGAGAAAATAAGAATCAAAACAGGCTTTTACATTAAATAGGCACTTAAAGTAGAAAACAAAATCCACTCTAAATACATGTCTCACAAAGGTTGGAAGTAGAATTAAATAAACCCCATGGTATCCAGAGAATATTTATATATATATATATATATATATATATATATATATATATATATATATTCCCTGTTCTCAAACTGTTGCATTTATAGCCAGAACTAAAATAATGCCTTTGTCAGTGCCCATTATTAATGTTTTTATAGAGCCCATACCCAGAATATGCCCTTTTCCGATGGCAGCGCTGTATGTATGGACCATTGAGGTCTGTTTATCACTGAGTAAAAACATAAAGAAACTATTTGAGCCAAATAAAAATATCAATAGAATATTCTTCTCTCAGTTCAGAGTAGCTTTTCTTGGAAGTATTTCTGTTATTAGATTTGTCGTGTTTTCTCCTTTATCTTTCATAAGGGATCAGTAGTACATACGTTCAGTATCGGTATAAGAAAAACTAAAGAATTTAATGTGATCTGCTAAATCACTTTTATCCAACTAGATTTGGCTCTCCATTCTTGTACTGTCTGGGGCAGGCTGGTAATTTTGTACAATCTACTAGAAGACGTAACTGATTTAATATGGTCTGGGCCTTAGCCTCCCCCACCAACCTGCTAAAAGCATTGGCAGGCACGGATGTAAATCATGAAATTTTCAAAGTATAAACATGTCAGTGGTAAATATGACAGACCTCTCATACTAAAACTGAAATAATAACCAGGTTTTTATGCGAATCCATCAGCAGTGCGTGTGTGCGAAATACTGGGGAATCCTGTACGTTACGGCCTCATAATCTCTGAGATTCTTTCTATAAACCAGAAATTATGAAGAATTGCAAACTCAAGCCATAGAATTTGCAATCTGCTTGTCGATGCCCTAGAGTTCCCTATACACATTTAGAATGTAAAAAGAAAATGTGTATTTTATTTTTTTGCATTATAGAATTCCAGCATTCTTAATTGTTAGTTCCCATATTTATGCCTTATTAAAGGAACACTATAGAGGTAGGAATACAAGCATGTATTTCTAACACTATTGTGTTCTGCCACCTCTATAGGTGTGTTTCCCGCCTCTATGAGCAGGTTTTGATCTGTAACCAAGTTTTAACTCCATTATAGCATAGGAAGCGCCAGGAAGACAGCCATTAGCGGTGTATTAAACTCTAATATAAAAATTGTCGCACCAAACTAATAACAATGTATTACATTGGACTAAGACCATTTCATTGAGATGAAGTGGTCTGGGTGCCTTTAGTTTCCCTTCAAATAAACTTAAATAGCATCTCTCAGAAGACGATAGTAATGGCTTTGCTGTTAGTAAAGTGTCTATGCAGTGTTTCCAGACTGGAAACCTCATAGACTAGGCCACTTATTATTTACATCCGGCCTTGACTTTGCATTTTCACATCCCAGCTGTATTACACAGCTTGTAAGCCATAATACAGACCGGATTCATACACCTACTTTCTCCAGCACAAACCCCTGTTAGCCAGCTTGCTATGATCAGTACAGGTCACTCCTAGAGAGAGTCTAGTGTTTTACTTAATTTATGATGTCAGAAATTAGCATGTTTTTATTTATTTTTTATAATCTTATTAGACAGTGGAGTTATACCGCTCTGATTCTTCCATATAGTAATGTTATTTTGAAATAGTTTAAATTCTAGCCCACTTTTTCTTCAATCAATATTTCAGTGGAGATCATGAATCTAACAGAAATATGCTTTTTTATTTTAAACACATTCTGAAGGGACTGAGTGTTTCTAGAATTTGCTGCTCATGAAAGTAACATTTTCCAAATTGATTAAGGAGTCTGGGAGCCGATTTGGCTGATAAGGAATAAATGACATAAGCAGCAGGCCCAAAATCCAGTGAGTTAACCAGCAAAGCAAAACATGCTTAGCAAGGGTAATATTGGGAACTTGTCAGGTTAGTGTACATTTTGTTTATTAAAGATTAGAATGTTCATCAAATGAATTAGTCCTTTTTTTTTTATTTCTTTTTTTTTTTACTTTTTAAGAAGCCTAAAAATGCAGAGAGATAATGACCTGAATACTTGTTTTTCTTACCAAACCATGTATTACACTACAGAAAGTATATACGGATTATTCTGAGAAGATAGTGTCAAATATTTTCATAAAGTATTTTTTTTTTCTTTTTGTATCATTGTTATTTTAAATTTAAAAAAAATGTAAGGCACTGTTCATAATCAATATAAAGAATGTAGTATTTGCTTAAATCATACCAAGTTCCTTACCTACCCAGAATTGCAATGCAGTTACCGTACATTCAATATAGGTGTGTATTTTGGAACTCAGTAGTTACCTCTCTTCATCTATGCCCAGAGTGCATTCAGATTAGCAAAGTAAAGCAGGTCTCACAGAAATTAAATTTAAAGACTTAATTAAAAGATCTTAATATCACTGATAATAGCAGTGGTTTTCCTTTTTGTAGTCCATTTTAATCTCTTTATATGGTGTCCCAGAGTCATTGATTCATTAGAACAATTGAAGTGCAATATTTGTGCTGCAGAATTTTTAACATTTTTAAAGGGGTAAGCATTTTTAAGCTGCAATTGTTCACTGTTACGATTGTTCTCTGGTTTAATGTCAGTTCATGCCATTGAGGCCACCCTTTCGTGGACTTGAGGATCTGAAGGGCAGAGACAAAGGGACAGTGTTAGGAATACAGTTTTATATTTCTAACACTATAGTGTTCCTTTAAATGTCTAAGAGCACTGGGCTATCCCACCTCAGCGCCCTTAGCCTGTCAACACTTTCCATTTTGGTCAACATTAACACAGATAGTGCAGAAGTGATATTCTTCATTATAAATATGGCAAGCATGAGAGTGATCATATTGCCAAGAAGATCCTCGGTTTATGATAGATCATTTTTAAACGGTTTGACATTAAACAGCGTGATGGCAACACAATCACTATAGTGGCTACATTACTTAGAGTGCCCATTTAATCTAAATATTGTAATTTACTGGAATCTTCATTGTGGAAGGTTTGCACCAGTTATTTTTATTTAGATATTTTCATTCTTACCTCTGATTTTGTTTCTTTTTTAGTGTTTTTATCAAAACAAGTACATATTTCAAATGTTTATTCACGTAAGTGAGCATTCAAAGTAATTTTAAAATATAAGATTAGATTAGCCAAAGTGGAAAAATTCTCATCTATGCTTTCACTTTGAAATCTACTTTGAATTCTCACTTTAGTTAAATAACTCTGTGAGAATAAAATGCACCTTTCTTATTATTATCTTCACAGAAATCACCTGTTTCAGTGCAGTAGGGATAGTGGCTACCTTTAGGTTAAGAAAGTAATCTTTTCTGTCTTTTTCTTGTCTGAGCATCATGGGGGAGGTAGTCAACAAAGACCGCGCCAGGTTTGCTATGAGTGAGTTCGCCTATGGCTTTTTCAAATAGGATACAAAGAAATCACTTGAATCAATTTCATACACTAACAAGACCTTTATTGAAGGGAAATTCTCGTATTCTGCACATCAGTTGTTTAGGTCAGTGATCATTAAGATTTGTAATAATTCATTACTTACGAGCCCTCGTTCTGCTTAGAAATTACAATCTTGTGAGCAAGCATTGTCACTTTCACGGTTCCTTTGCAGGTTAGGGCTCTTAAGGTATACAAATCTCTTACACTGTTATAAATAGGATTGTATAAAAATGTGCTATTGGTCTTCTGTGCATTGTATGTTCAGACCTACATATCCGCTTCTGTTTGTTTCTACGTAGTGTCTCACTAATCCCACCGCCACTCCCACCAGAAAACAGCCAAGCATTCTGCCTTTGTGCTGTATGCACACAGCACCTTGAGGTGAGAGGGCTCCCCCAGCACATGGCAATGCGGGGTGTCCTTAACCTCCTGCTTTAGAATGGGAGGCTTCACGCTAGCCAATCCTCAAACTCTTTGTGAACTATTCTATGATAAATGAATCCAATCAGTTGTTGCATTTTCCTGATGTCTCTGAAGTCATTTAAAACTCATAGCATGTATATTAACTTGTTGGCTAAGATAGCTTTCTTTTGTTTAAATGTGTATAATGTTTAAAAGGAAAAAAAAACACAAAAGAAAACACATTTTATATACTTGTATCTGGCTTTTAACATTTTTATAGTACCCCATTGTTCTTGGTGGCAACAATATCTATTTTTGTGCCCATTTTTGGAAACCAAGTGCCGTTTTGGAAACGTTACAATAATTTCTACAGTTCGTGTAATCAATGTGAAACTCACAGTTGTTTATTTTCTTGTCCTTTTTTCCTGATCTCTGTTTTTGAGCCTGTAGCTGTAAGCTTTTGATGTCTTCAAACGTTTGATAGGGGTTAAAGCCAAGCTCCATGTCCCGTGACCAGTGGCCTTTGCTCTCATAAGGCTGAAAAGTGACACTAAAAATATCTAAAATACATTTTACTATTTTCCATCTATAAAAAACAAGATTAAATGGTTTGACAAAGTATATATATATATTGCTAGAGTCCATTAAATGCTAAAATTATATTGATGACAAGTCTAGAATACTGAGCAGCAGTTTGCTGTTAAAAGGGCAGTATTGTAAATGTACAGGTTATATCTGACCCATTACCTAACTTCATAGTGATCATATGGAAATGTACATTGCTCTGCAAAGATTAGGGTATTTACTGCAATTTTAGTGGATGTAGAAATTAAAGTTAGTGGGTTAGTGAAGTGTAAAATGCTTCAAGAATTGCATGTAAACGTACAGGTCAGGAGAAATCTGTGTCTAACCTCACACCCTACCTGAGTTATAAAAGGAAAACTGTCTCACCTGCGATCACATCCTTAGGGAACACGATGAGGGTGCTTCGGGTGTGCCAGTTTACCTTTCACTCAATATATGGGGTTTTTGTTATGTAAGACAAACATTAAATTAAAATCCAGCTGGATGGCATCTTTAAGCAGGCAAATTTATGAAGATTAAGCAAATTGTCCTGATCTTTACATTTTACATCAATCTGCCAGCACAATAAATAAATTGCAAATCTTTAACAATATCCTGCCACATTGGCTGCCCTGGATATTTACTCTCATCATCCTTAAATCTATTTCCATCACCAAAGAAAAATTGTAAGACTGACTACCATTTAATTTTCATCACGTGAATAATTCACTTTTTTGAGTATAATTACGAAACTGGAAATTGGGGATTATTGAAAATGGGACTACAAATTATTCGCCAAAATACCAGAATTCTTCCAATTCTGCGATCTTGGCATAACGTTCGCATTTACATTTACGATTGTCCACGATTCGGTGTTTAGTGAAATATTCAATGTTTGTTTCATACAGCAAACCTTTGTGCACTAAGCCCTATGCAATAAATTAGGAACGGGGCAGTAATATGCGTTTGCCTCTTGTCCTTTTTATCTGGTCCGGGAACAAGCTTGGCTCCTCTTCTACTGTGTAATGTATATACTCTGTATAGCTACATTGTATGAGATCCCTAGCTTGTTTGATATAAGAGAAGTATGTATTGGATACATTTTCCTAGCCTGGTTGTTTGATCTGAAAAAAATATAATTGTTTGAAAATACAGAGGAACACAAGTTCTTATCTGGTTCTGTTATAGTCACATTAAGGACAAAAAGTTAGTTTCGAGTGTCTTTGGATAGAAACATGATGCTAAGATTTTTCATTAAAATATATTATTATTAATGTTTTATGGTGTTTGTTTTGACTGTCATTATTTCTAGTTGTGACAATGAGATGTTTAGAATCTATCCACCAAATCATAGTTAACTTTCTTTTCATACAGAAAAAATATAAAGGTCCCAATAATGTACCTTAGGATAGAGTTTAAAACACAGCTAAAGGTTAACTCTCAACTGAAAAAAGGGACTCCACTAAAAAATCCCTACAAGTGCAATAGACAAAAGATATTGGATGAATAATCCAATATATATTCAGGAGTAGTGTATACCTTTAAATTTTAAACTGGTATGTAAAAATGCTAAAATGACATAATATGACTTAGAATAGCATATAAATGAAGAGCATATATAAGACAAATGATATAAATATGCTATTGTTGCAATAAATCCAATAGTAGACAGAATGATACAATTGTATCACTTAGAATAAGAGTTCATAACAGTCCGTGAATGATGTTAGCTGTTTCAGTTTTTACCAGTTATGAACAAACTAGAATAGTGGATGCTGAATTAGCTGAATTAATATAGTACTCCTGAATATATATTGGATTATTCATCCAATATCTTTTTTCTTTTCATACAGACTTACTAAACATCTAATATAAACCCCACTATAAACAACCTTGTGTACGATAATCCCCGATATACACATAAACAACCCTCATCTAAAATAAACCCCAATATACACAACCTCGTCTAAAATAAACAGCCCTCATCTAAAATAAACCCAATATAAACAGCCCTCATCTAAAATAATCCCCAATATAAACAGCCTCATCTAAAATAAACCCCAATATAAACAACCCTCATCTAAAATAAACCCCAATATAAACTGCCCTCATCTAAAATAAACCCCAATATAAACAGCCCTCATCTCAAATAAACCCCAATATAAACAGCCCTCATCTAAAATAAACCCCAATATAAACAGCCCTCATCTCAAATAAACCCCAATATAAACAGCCCTCATCTAAAATAAACCCCAATATAAACTGCCCTGATCTAAAATAAACCCCAATATAAACTGCCCTGATCTAAAATAAACCCCAATATAAACAGCCCTCATCTAAAATAAACCCCAATATAAACTGCCCTGATCTAAAATAAACCCCAATATAAACAGCCCTCATCTCAAATAAACCCCAATATGAACAACCCTGATCTAAAATAAACCCCAATATAAACAGCCCTCGTCTAAAGTAAACCCCAATATAAACAACCCTCATCTCAAATAAACCCCAATATAAACAGCCCTCATCTAAAATAAACCCCAATATAAACAGCCCTCGTCTAAAATAAACCCCTATATAAACTGCCCTCATCTAAAATAAACCCCAATATAAACAACCCTTATTAAAAGTAAACCCCAATATAAACAGCTCTCATCTAAAATAAACCCCTATATAAACTGCCCTCATCTAAAATAAACCCCAATATAAACAGCCCTCATCTCAAATAAACCCCAATATAAACAACCCTCATCTAAAATAAACCCCAATATAAACAGCCCTCATCTCAAATAAACCCCAATATAAACAGCCCTCATCTAAAATAAACCCCAATATAAGCAACCCTGATCTAATATTAACCCTAATATAAACAGCCCTCATCTAAAGTAAACCCCTATATAAACTGCCCTGATCTAAAATGAACCCCAATATAAACAGCCCTCATCTAAAATAAACCCCAATATAAACAGCCCTCATCTAAAATAAACCCCAATATAAACTGCCCTCATCTAAAAGAAACCCCAATATAAACAGCCCTCATCTCAAATAAACCCCAATATAAACAGCCCTCATCTAAAAGAAACCCCAATATAAACAGCCCTCATCTCAAATAAACCCCAATATAAACTGCCCTCATCTAAAAGAAACCCCAATATAAACAGCCCTCATCTAAAATAAACCCCAATATAAACAACCCTCATCTAAAATTAACCCCAATATAAACAGCCTCATCTAAAATAAACCCCAATATTAACAGCCCTCATCTAAAATTAACCCCAATATAAACTGCCCTCATCTAAAATTAACCCCATTATAAACAGCCTCATCTAAAATAAACCACAATATAAACTGCCCTCATCTAAAATAAACCCCAATATAAACAGCATTCATCTAAAATAAACCCCAATATAAACAACCCTCATCTAAAATTAACCCCAATATAAACAGCCTCATCTAAAATAAACCCCAATATTAACAGCCCTCATCTAAAATTAACCCCAATATAAACTGCCCTCATCTAAAATTAACCCCATTATAAACAGCCTCATCTAAAATAAACCACAATATAAACTGCCCTCATCTAAAATAAACCACAATATAAACTGCCCTCATCTCAAATAAACCCCAATATAAACTGCCCTCATCTCAAATAAACCCTAATATAAACAGCCCTCATCTAAAATAAACCCCACTATACACAACCTCATCTAAAGTAAACCCCAATATAAACAGCATTCATCTAAAATGAACCCCAATATAAACAACCCTCATCTAAAATTAACCCCAATATAAACAGCCTCATCTAAAATAAACCCCAATATTAACAGCCCTCATCTAAAATTAACCCCAATATAAACTGCCCTCATCTAAAATTAACCCCAATATAAACAGCCCTCATCTCAAATAAACCCCAATATAAACAGCCCTCATCTAAAATAAACCCCAATATAAACTGCCCTGATCTAAAATAAACCCCAATATAAACTGCCCTCATCTAAAGTAAACCCCAATATAAACAGCCCTCATCTAAAATAAACCCCAATATGAACAGCCCTCATCTAAAATAAACCCCAATATAAACAGCCCTCATTGAAAATAATCCCCATTATAAACAACCCTCATCTAAAATAAACCCCAATATAAACAACCCTCATCTAAAATAAACCCCAATATAAACTGCCCTCATCTAAAATAAACCTCAATATAAACAGCCCTGATCTCAAATAAACCCCAATATAAACAACCCTCATCTCAAATAAACCCCAATATAAACAGCCTCATCTAAAATAAACCCCAGTATAAACAACCCTCATCTAAAATAAACCCCAATATAAACAACCCTCATCTAAAATTAACCCCACTATACACAACCTCATCTAAAATAAACCTCAATATAAACAGCCCTCGTCTAAAATAAACCCCTATATAAACTGCCCTCATCTAAAATAAACCCCAATATAAACAACCCTTATTAAAAGTAAACCCCAATATAAACAGCTCTCATCTAAAATAAACCCCTATATAAACTGCCCTCATCTAAAATAAACCCCAATATAAACAGCCCTCATCTCAAATAAACCCCAATATAAACAACCCTCATCTAAAATAAACCCCAATATAAACAGCCCTCATCTCAAATAAACCCCAATATAAACAGCCCTCATCTAAAATAAACCCCAATATAAGCAACCCTGATCTAAAATTAACCCTAATATAAACAGCCCTCATCTAAAATTAACCCCAATATAAACTGCCCTCATCTAAAATTAACCCCATTATAAACAGCCTCATCTAAAATAAACCACAATATAAACTGCCCTCATCTAAAATAAACCACAATATAAACTGCCCTCATCTCAAATAAACCCCAATATAAACTGCCCTCATCTCAAATAAACCCTAATATAAACAGCCCTCATCTAAAATAAACCCCACTATACACAACCTCATCTAAAGTAAACCCCAATATAAACAGCATTCATCTAAAATAAACCCCAATATAAACAACCCTCATCTAAAATTAACCCCAATATAAACAGCCTCATCTAAAATAAACCCCAATATTAACAGCCCTCATCTAAAATTAACCCCAATATAAACTGCCCTCATCTAAAATTAACCCCAATATAAACAGCCCTCATCTCAAATAAACCCCAATATAAACAGCCCTCATCTAAAATAAACCCCAATATAAACTGCCCTGATCTAAAATAAACCCCAATATAAACTGCCCTCATCTAAAGTAAACCCCAATATAAACAGCCCTCATCTAAAATAAACCCCAATATGAACAGCCCTCATCTAAAATAAACCCCAATATAAACAGCCCTCATTGAAAATAATCCCCATTATAAACAACCCTCATCTAAAATAAACCCCAATATAAACAACCCTCATCTAAAATAAACCCCAATATAAACTGCCCTCATCTAAAATAAACCTCAATATAAACAGCCCTGATCTCAAATAAACCCCAATATAAACAACCCTCATCTCAAATAAACCCCAATATAAACAGCCTCATCTAAAATAAACCCCAGTATAAACAACCCTCATCTAAAATAAACCCCAATATAAACAACCCTCATCTAAAATTAACCCCTCTATACACAACCTCATCTAAAATAAACCTCAATATAAACAGCCCTCGTCTAAAATAAACCCCTATATAAACTGCCCTCATCTAAAATAAACCCCAATATAAACAACCCTTATTAAAAGTAAACCCCAATATAAACAGCTCTCATCTAAAATAAACCCCTATATAAACTGCCCTCATCTAAAATAAACCCCAATATAAACAGCCCTCATCTCAAATAAACCCCAATATAAACAACCCTCATCTAAAATAAACCCCAATATAAACAGCCCTCATCTCAAATAAACCCCAATATAAACAGCCCTCATCTAAAATAAACCCCAATATAAGCAACCCTGATCTAAAATTAACCCTAATATAAACAGCCCTCATCTAAAATTAACCCCAATATAAACTGCCCTCATCTAAAATTAACCCCATTATAAACAGCCTCATCTAAAATAAACCACAATATAAACTGCCCTCATCTAAAATAAACCACAATATAAACTGCCCTCATCTCAAATAAACCCCAATATAAACTGCCCTCATCTCAAATAAACCCTAATATAAACAGCCCTCATCTAAAATAAACCCCACTATACACAACCTCATCTAAAGTAAACCCCAATATAAACAGCCCTCATCTAAAATTAACCCCAATATAAACAGCCTCATCTAAAATAAACCCCAATATTAACAG